GTGGACATAACGATATAGCAGCTCAGGAATGCAGATTTAGCTGTCAGTAGATATTGTGCATCTGTAACGGCGAAATTGGCTGCAGTTGGATTTATAATCATAGGACCCTCCGAGCTAATCGTCCGACTTTTAATCCTTTCTGGTGCATTCTTGTCGAACACAGGGCCATTAAGTTATGAAAAGTAAAACATAGGTATCCTGCTCTATAGTGTACCTTTTATTTGCTACCACAAGTTAAGTACTGGTTTCGCATAAGGCTGTGTGACCTAATCAACGAGTTATAAATGAGTCATCTCTAGCACCCTACATTTAATAAAATTACAAAGCAGTGTCAGTCCACAAATTAGTGTTCTCAAGAAAAATAAAATTGAGTTTGCTCCAGCGTTTTCATTGGCTTACAATCGTGCTTTATTTGGAGCTCGTAGATATTTTTTAATTCATTTAGTTGATAAGTGGTGAATGTTAAAGTGCAATTCACACAAGAAATCTTAATGTGAGCACCTAAAGTTCTATGCGGGGTAAAAAAGTCAGTGAAATCTCGATATCGAAACTGTGAAGCAAAATGAGAACAAATATATATAGTTGGTGTCCGTTGCCGAGAAAATAAATCGTTCCCTTTATTACAACATCCGTGGAAGAAATGTAGTGGTATTAGTCATACTTACACAATCCTCAAAGCTGAGCGTGGTATAACTGGGAATATAGATATTCAACACCTAACACGAGAAGAAGGCCAATAAAGTTGAAGGAGAGAATGTTCATGTATGCAATCAGATGTAATGGCTCAGCCTCACAGACGTGGTCATTCTGTATAACTGGTCCTTATTTACGTTAAATATATTACCATATCTTCAGCTTAAATGTGTTCTTCAGAACTATTAAGTATTATATTGTTAATTATTACGATACGATGAGTCAGTATAAACCTCCGAGTAAGATCATGTAGATTAGTTAGTCACATCATGACAAATCTATACTTTTAGGATTGAGTCTATTATTATAGTACTCATAACGAAGTAGATCATAATTCTACAAAGAGGTTACATATCAATGAAATCATGATACCTACTAAACACCACACATTCCTAATAAACCTTCACATTTTGTGCGTTTGACACATATATCGTGTGTATCTGATTAACATTTCTCACAAATTGAGGACAGTATACTTCAGGTTCAACATTTATATCAGATAATTTCTCTCTTTTCGAAGACAAATCTGACCGAAATGATGGTAGGTCGAACTAGAGTGGGAAAAACATTTCCCTTCTCAATATGGAAAGGGTTTCGTCTTTTTTCCTATAGGTACTGAAAGAAAAGAAATATGAGTAAAGAGTAGCTTTTGGCACGGATAACATAAACATAAAAACCAACACTAAATCTAAAAGCAGGGGGAAAGTTATAAATCCAAGGCTAGATTCCTTCATCTTTTTTACTACTTAGGATGATGGGAGACTTTCAGGCAAAAGACTCTTCGATTAATAAATGTAATAATGTAGCATCCTCGGGTAGATGCCTAGATCATACAAGCAACAACATTATACAGAATGGGCCGTCTTCACCAAGTGCACTGGTGAATTTTGTAAAAAAAGCGAAAGCAGCTTTCATTATCACGGAAGCGAATGTTCAGAGCTCTCAGTAACAAGATAGAATTAGAAATGTCGTAGATAGTGCAGTTGACATACAATAAAAAACTATCTATGTCAGAGTTACCAACGCAATCCCAGAACTAACTTGGATTACTATCAAGGAAAATTATGCGGAAAGTATAAATCAGTGGAAGAAACAGTTACAAAGTCTTGGTTTGTTTAAGTTAGTTGTGGTTAGCAAATGCCTACTGCCCCACCAAACATATCACAAATTCTTAAGTTAGTTCGTTGGAATCTATGGAATATTGTCTTGATTGAGCAGATTGTGGAATTATATGGTACAGTGTAGATCCGTAGTCTCTCTGCTTTTGCTGTATAAACATATATCTTTTATTTAACTCCGCATATGACCATGGTAAGAACACGGATTGCATTGGAGGAATTTTTTCAAGCATTCCTTTATTCAGACAGAAATTCAGAAAAGCAGAGCGAAGAAGGCCAGTGAGGTAGTTTGCTGTGGTTGAACGTGACTCAATATTTATAGTCCGACGTATATAAGCCACATACACGTAATGAATAGGATGAGCAATTAACAGGCATACACGCGTATAAAAACAGTCAGGGTTGAAAAGCGAATAATTAACATAATGAAAATGTGACTAAAGAAGAGGGAATTGATTGGTCTGCTCGGAAGTTAAAATAACCCATGTGGGCTTGGTATAGTACCATACACCATAAGACTATGAATGAGTGGATGCTGAATAGCAAGAACTTTCATTTGCACTCCGATAGATAAGGGCAACTTTTGATTTGTCGTGCCTGATCCGATGAGGTTCTTACTTCATTTGTCGGCGTCTTTGATAATAATTCTTTTTGTCGGAAGACCCCGCAAACAACCTTGATGAATCTTCTTTGAACACATTCATTATTCCTCAAATCATTATGCACTAAATTACTGTAAACTGGAACGCGATATTCAAGAATGGGTATGACATATATTTTATATAGTAATAATCTCTATCCGATGTTATTAAAATGTATACGTACCCATCCAATGAGCCTTCTTGCTTCGGATACTTGTGATACGATTTACTCGGAAAAGTTCAGCCTGTTGCTATACCTCAAACCCAAATCATGAACAGTGTTAGGGATTTAAGTACTTGTTTGTGTAGAGTCAGATTTGGGTTAGGGCTGCGTCCACTGTACAGTAATTAACAGATTCCACTACAAAAAACCACTGGTATAACTTGTTTATATCTCCTAAGTTTACCGCTGAAATATATAGTTTTCTGAATAATAGACGAGAGTGAATAGACTATACTTAAATCATCAGCAACGAGGAAAGTTTTAGCGGGTTTAAAGAATGAGCACATGTCATTGACGAAGAGGGGAAGAATAACAGGTCAATTGTATTTGCTCGTTTAACCCCACTGGTTACATTCATAGGTTTTACGTAGCAAGATCCACAGTGAACAGTGTGGCTACGTTCTGCTAAAAAAGGACTTGAACCAGAATAAATGGGGATTCTGTCAAATGAAGAAAGTTTCAGGACAAGAAGGTTGTATGAGACAGTAATGAAGGCCTTACAAAATCGAATTAAAAGGTTATCACCGATTGACCAGCATATCTTCCCTGGGCAATTTTATCGAAAAATTCAAAGTGTGATATCGATCATGAGCGTCTAGTCATAACCCAATGATGGCATGAGCTAATCAGACTTGCTGAAAGTAAAAATGACAGCAGCTGTTGGTAGATGAAGTCTTCCATGATTCCTGATAGCACAGATGTTAAGATGACGTAATCGCCGAACCTCTGGCCATACTGTCTGATTTGTCTCTGCGGCAGTCCTGACTACCAATCGACTGAAAATGCGCAATAATTAGTCCGGCGTATAAGGCGGTAACAAAGTCTCATTGACTGTCGACCCGTTGGTCTAACCAGTGAGGTCATCAAACTAATGGAAAAGATTATTTGGATGTCTGTTATCAACTATGCGTAAAAGCGTAATCTTTTATTCAGGGAACAAGACGGTTTTCGGAAAGTCCTATCATGTTTGACAAATATGCTAATTAGAAGAGAAGATTCGGTTGTAGCAAAAGATAGAAATATTCCTGTATATGTAATTATTATAGATCCAAGTAAAGCCTTTGACAAGGTCTTCAGTTCGGGCCTTAAATTAAAACGGGAATGTTTTGAAATCTATTATATGGTAATAGACGGTATAAGTGACTTTCTCAGTGATAGGAGACAGAGGGTAAGGGTAAATGGAGCTCACTCAACATGAGGACCTGTAAAAAGAGGAGTTTCTCAAGATGCAATCCTTGGTACACTTCTTTTTATTACCAACTGAAGCAAAGTCATCCGTTCTACTTTCGCAGAGGACATAATGATTTGGAGACCTATAAATAGTATGTAAGATAGAATGGTATTAAAGTGTCCTATCTCTTCCTTCCATCTAGTACTGATGCTTTGAGATGATATTATACGAATTTTCAAAAACCGAGATCAAATCGTTTACGCCTGGAGTTTCGATTCTCTCACCGAGTAGTGAATTATTGGAATTCTCTTCCATAACACGTAATATCAGCACCTTCTGTTGATATATTCAAAACGAGATTGGACCTCCATAGTGTTAAATACTGCAAAGATTAATATAAGTCGATAGACCTGTGGTGGACCAGACAATGTATAAACTCGAAAAGTATCAACAAAGTTTTGATGGTCTGTTAGGGATGCAGAAAAATATAACAATCATTATCATGTTAAGTCTAATGATGTCCTTGGACCTTAAATGGATATTTCCTATTGGCCATTATTTATTTCACTCGTTAAATATTGTACAGATGTTGTTTTCTATTGTTATGGTACGATGTGGTTTGTTTGTTTGGTATATAAATAGAATATGTCTGAAATACAATGACCCATATCTCTGAGGCTGTGACTTGTGTTCTGGACTCAACTGGCTGGGTTAGGCAGCAAAGCAGGGCCAATCGGGACTCGACCGTAAGTGTTTTACGTGTCACTGAATCGATCGATAAAACGCTGCGCATCAAATCTGCAATCCACCCGTTACAACAAGATCAATAGTAATATTAATATGTACCAGTTAACTTCTACAAATACAATGAAAACTGGGACATTACTTAAGTTCACCGAATTGATGCGTGTTCAGCTTTAGTCTGGTACAGTAAATCCACGATTATAAATGGTTGGTAATTCCAACCGTGTTGACGAACTCTCCAGTAGTGCAATCCAATGTAAGATATGGTATATTCCCACTCACAGTCTATAAATGTAAGTAATATTTGGTTTAGATTTCAGTTAACTCAATCGCCGACGAGGGATGTGTGTGTAGCAATGTATTTGTTAACAAGTCACAGTATGTCACGCTATGTAGTTATACAACGGAAAGTGTCTCCAAGGTCATTCACTTAAACAATACGTACAGTCATTTAATGAAAATGTACATACAGTGAGAAATTGACAAACTAAATACAAATAACATTAAAAACTATTTACGAAATAGGCTTGTCAGGCCTATCTCCACAGACCTCCTATGCTTATTATTGAAGATTGGTATTGTACTTTGAATAAACTTTGGTTTGTTTGGAACTATCAGTTGGAAGGTTTCCAAAGCAGATATTCGATGAACGGAACTGTCCGTTTGGGAATGTTTGTCGTTTATGTCTTGTTTTTATGTGGGACTGGAGTGGTTTATTCCAATTTATGTCCAAGACAGTGTTTGCCGGGATCCTGTTGCGAAGTTGAAGAAAATGACTTCAGATGCTGTCCTTATGCTAATGTATGTTTCAAATGATGTATAATATTCTCATATAACTTCTCAGGGTGTATGTTGTAGTGATGGGAGAAACTGCTGTCCTCAAGGGACAAAGTGTGATTTGGAACTCGGTCATTGTCGTTCTCCTAATGGGACTGTGTTACCCTCCAAACATATATCAGAGGTGAATGTTCTTTTTTTGTATTTTGTTTCAGTATGACATGTAAGTGTCGCTGTATAAGGAAATCTCTTTACTTTTCTGAATCGTTATTGGTATTTAGATAGAGTTCGTTTCTCCCCAAGTATTTTATTCTGAAGTTCGCTATTTAGAAAGTTGAAGCGATCTTTACACAAGTCTTCTTATGAAGACAAGGCATCTAAATTTCTGTACTCCTAAAGTTTGACTGCCTTTTTCACAGGGTATTAGCTTGATAATATTTTAATAGGCCGAGATCTAACGATCGTGAGGTTTGTGCTGAGATTTTCTCATTTAATGATTTTGTTGGGACGCAAAGTAACATGGCTACTCTTACTTTCACTAAGTTTGATACGTAAAATGAAATAATCAATCTCCCCGAACATTAAATACAACAGAAACAAATATTTAACTTTTCTCATGATAATTAGGGTCTACATCGACTAATCTCCATCTTGATGTTGTTCGGCAACTTTGGTCAACATATTTGGATTATATTTTGGTTATAACTGACTGAGCGACTTTTTAGTGGCATAGTGTTATCATCAGACTTCCAGGTTCCACTTCTTAAATATGAGCAGGATGCCTTTAATCCGCATCGTGTTCAGTAGAGTTGTTTCACATTTAGTGCACAGTATTACATAATGTTTGTGGATATGCGCAAAGTGAAAATCCTGTGGACCTGAGACCTAAGTTTCTTTGTAACATGTATCCTAGTGACATAAGATCAAAGACTCAAAACATTAAGCCAACATCGCTCTGTATGCTTGGATTAGACTAATAGTAATGTAAACCAATTAAAGTTCACTTAAGGATGCCTAGATATTATTCCAAGCTAATAGACTATGTGATATGTCCCAGTAATTTTTTATTTGCTAAACGACCTAGTCTCTTTTGAATTTATTTCGGCTTAAAATCAGCAAAATACCGCACCGCACAATTGTAATTCGTAGGAATACTCTGTAAACGAATCTTTACTGTATTATTGGGCAAAATCTCCAATTATGTAGTAGTGCTATGCGAGTATTCAGTGACCGTAACCAGTTCTGATTTTTATCATCCATTCCGGGAAATTCTTGTGTAAATGTTCAGATCACTGAGTAAATATGAATGCAACTAAAAAAATATATCGTTGGTATTTGTTAATTTTTATTACTTATTGTGTCGATGAGTCCAAGTTCTGAAGTCCTATATTGCCCCCAAATGCCCTGGTACGGTCGAGAGTGGGGAGAGTCCGCTCTCCCTCGCGAAATGCTCTCACATGGCCACGCATATATAGCCTCTGCCAGGGAAGTCCTACTCACTGCCTTCTCGTGGCGGGGGTGTTGTTTACGAAATTGAGAGGACGAAAAGCGAATGTCTGGCACTTTAACCGTGTCGGTGGACATGGAGAGTTGGAAAACCCTCATTTCAAACCAATGGTGCACATTGACTTTAGTATGCTGAAGGAACAAATGGCGTATGAACCAATCGTTGGTCATCGGCTACCATGGGACTGCATCTCCTTACGATGCTCCACTGCCTTGTGGATCAGACCTTTAGGTCGAAGGCTCCGAGTGTGGTCTCCTATGGAAACCTGTTGCTTCGGTTTGAGCACCCTGGCAGTATCACATCCCTCACATATATCAATTGAGATATGTGTGGCGCATATGTATTTGGTGCCTCCTTGTACCAATATGTGTTAAAATAAAATAAAAACGTTGTGATACGTTAGCACTAAAAAACCTGATTAAAATACGAGATGAGTCTGAACTTATTCTTAAGCTTTGTCCCAAAGAAGTAAGCGTAAATTCTTAGGTGAGTTTAAAGTTACTTCCTACGCAGCTGTCAACTACCGAACTTCGAGTTCACTAGAAGGATGAACGATTAAAAATGAGTCGAGATGTTCAGGCAGGGAGAAAGAATTAGTTTGTAGAAAGCGAGGCATAAATTAGTTTTAATCTCAAGGTTTAAGTTGAGATAGACTGTACACGCGCCATTGTGATAGATTATGAGCCAAGTCATCCAGTCTCTAACCACCGGTTACAATAGTCGCGCGGACCCCAACCAAGTAATCTGCATCTACTAAAACGGCTCAGATCAGAAGTTAGTGAAATGATGCCAATTTTTGGTTTGGCCACCCCTAACTTCCAACTATCTCCAACACTAGTCAGCATTGAGCGCCATAGTATTCGCTTGTCGGGCATGTGTAACACGTGGGCCAACCATCTCAGTCGATGAAGCTTCCTAACCTTATCAACTGGTTTATCATCACTCCCTAATACTCTTCATCCAACCTCACCAAAACAGGACTATCATCTGCACATTCTAAGTCGATAAGTGGACCTCGTGGAAGGAAACCAATTCCTGGAAATCCAGATGACGAGAGCGTTATTCCCAGCAGTAGGTCTATGATGAAATTAAAAAAATTGAGATAGTGGACAGTCTCACAGGACATCACTTGAGGTTACGAAATCAGATGACAGTTCGCCGTAAGCTCTGAATCAACTGGTAGTGTTCGAGTGGAGCCTCCACAAGGTTTATGTACTTCTGAGGTACACCTTTCAATGACAGTAGTATATCTAGTAATCATTGTCATTGTATGGCGCATATATATCTGGTGTCCCCTTGTACCAATATTTGTGTTCAAACAAATAAATGAATAATGACATACACTGCCACAGAACCTCTCGATCTACATAGTCAAATGCTGCTTTTAAGTCAAGAAAGACCACCATTGTCGGACGCCGATAAGTATGCTTGTGTTTTAGAACCTGACGAATGGTGAATGTGTGCTCGATGCAACCACAACCAGGTCTGAAGCCAGTTTGATTTTCTCGTGTTTGCAGTTCACGAGTCTTAGTTAGATGTCTGATAATTATCGAGGCTCGTATTTTAGATACTATACCAGTTAAACTAATCCCTCTATGGTTGTCACAGGACGATTTCGACCCCTTCTTATATATTGGGACGACCAGTGATTGTGACCAGTCAGATGAGATAACGTCGAATTTCCAGATTTTAGCTAAAATATTAATCAAGCTAATCGCTAAAATTGGACCACCATCCTTAAAGACTTTTGGAGTTAATCCATCTGGATCAGCTGCCCTTCCTCGTTCCAGATTAACTATAGCCTTTGAAACTCAGCTAGAGTTGGGGAACCTAGATAAGTGTGATCCTTTTTTCGAGATTGTCTCATTTACACTTAACTTTTTATTACGGTTTGTCTTATTAGTCTGAAAAACTGTCCAGTGTTACGTGCAGCCACTGTCTTTTCCATCTTTTTTGCTTTCGTTGCCCACCACTGCTCACTATTGTTCTGTAACTTTTGGTTTAGGTAGATGTGATTTGTTTTCGCTCTTCATCGTGCTTGGAGCATGATGGGTGATGAGTTTACGTGTTTGCTAAAAATAAATGATTTTCTGAGCACAGTTTCAGCAGACGATCACCATTATCTGTTCTCTGTGCCGGAATACTAAAACACCCACTTAAATGTCTCTCTTTGGTTTAAGCTACCTACTTGGTCGTTAAATTCACCTATGAGTACCATGAGTGTTCAGCTTTTTGAAGCAGTTCAGTAAGCTTACTGAAACACTTATTTTTTAATTCATCAGGGCTGCAGTCCGTGCGAGCGTAGGCAGAAACGACGTAAAGGCAACGATATGCGTCACTATCCTTCCGAGTTTTTAAGAAACCGTTTAGCCGAACAGCATATAGGTGACTGTTAACGGTAATCCACTCTAGTAGTGCTTGTTATGCCCTCATACTTATTTCTATGCCTGCACCCACTATTTCACAAGAACTAGTCATCGGGTCGATAAATAAATGGAGGGTGTATCTCGTCTCCCTCGTTTTGGCGAGGTGAGTTCGAGTGAATGATCACACTGGGATCCCGTATGCGTGTTTCGTAGACGCAGCATACATCAATGTTACGGGATGTTAGAGTTTTAGCCAAGGAGGCCTGCTGACCGATTTGACATAGGGTATGTACGTTAAATGCTCCAATCTGTAGTTTAATGCGGCGTTTCAACACACCTAGGAAAGTATTTCGCCCACTAAAATCGTTGCCCATGGTTGCCCTTGAAGAGGAAGTTTAGAGTTAAAAGTCGAGGTAGGAGGAATAATAGGAATTAAAGAGGGAGATTGATTATGAATACAGTGGTTTTGGGTACTGTTAGAGGTACTGGGACGGTTATTACTTACTGGTTGCCCACACCATTGAAGGGTTCTTCTAGAGGTAACTGAAAAGGAAATCGGGTTAGTTAGTCACACCTCTGTACAATCAGAAGTATGATTTCGCCCTCTGGTCTTGGGTTTGCAGCTTTCAGTCTTACCACTCTTCAGCCGACCTGTCTGGCATGATAGGACCTTGAAGAACAATTGTTCCAACCAGTGTAGCTCGATTGCTTCATCACGATAGACAAGCCCGACCTTCACGCTAGGGACTGCGCATAATGTGTGGAGAGTGGTTCTTCATCTATATCTCGTTTATATTTTAGTATAATAAGTTCTAAATTCTCTATTATTAAATACAATAGTTTCCATATAGAATACCTTGACGTGGTGGTCGGGCTTGCCTATCGTGATGAAGCAACCGAGCTATACTGGCTGGAACAACCGTTCCTCAAGGTCCTACCATGTCAGACAGGTCGGTTGAAGAGCGGTAAGACTAAAAGCAACAAACCCAAGGTCCGAAGGCGAAGTCGTACTGCTGACTGTACAGAGGTGTGACAGCAGTAAGGTGTTTCCTTCAGACAACCAGCATGACAGCGATGCTGCCTTCCCACAAGGAGGGGTGGGGTTAGAAAAGGTCAACCCTAAAAATGCACACCTCACCTTACCTCACGGATTTCCGTCTCCGGCGGTAAGGCCCTTTGTAGAACGGAGCTAACACGTCAAAAACCTCCTACGAAAAGGCCGTGCGCGACCGGCCTCAAGCAGTTGTCCCTTGGGCACTGCGGTCACGCTCTCAGGTCACTAAGACCACCTTTAATCCAATTTCCTTTTCAGGTACCTCCAGAAGAACCCTTCCACGGTGTGGGCAACCGGGAAGTGATAACCGCCCTCATACCTCTAACAGCACCCAAGACCACTGTATTCATAATCAACCTCCCTCTTCAATTCCTATTACTCCTCCTACATCGACTTTCAACTCTAAATTTCCTCTCTCGGCTTCCACCTCAAGTGTCACCATAGCCAACGATTCTAGTGCGCAAAACACTGTCCCATGTCTACTGAAACCTCGCTCCAAACTACACATTGGAGCCTTCAATGTACGCACCCTATGTCAAATCGGTCAGCAGGCTTCCTTGGCTAAAACCCTAGAGTCTCTTTCCATTGATGTATGCTGTGTCTCCGAAACACGCATACAGGATTCCAGTGTGGTTATTCACTTGACCTCACCTCGGCAAAACGGAGAGCCAACAAGATACACCCTTCGTGTATCTGGTGACCCGATGGCAAGTTCTCGTGGACTGGCAGGGGTAGGCATAGCACTAAGCATGAGGGCGGAACAAACACTGCTAGAGTGGATCCCCGTCAACAGTCGTTTATGTGCCGTTCGGCTGAACGGCTACGTAAGAACTCGGAAGGATAGGGACACACGTCGTTGCCTTTTTGTCGTTTCTGCCTACGCTCACACTGACTGCAGCTCAGATGAAGTGAAAGATGAATTTTACAGAAAGCTGTCCGAACTTCTTCAGAAAGCTAAACGCTCAGACATAGTACTCGTAGCAGGTGATTTTAATGCTCAGATAGGTAGCTTAAACCAAACAGAAAGGCATTTAGGTGGATATTTCAGTGTTCCGACACAGCGAACAGATAATGGTGATCGTCTGCTGCAGCTATGCTCAGACAATCGTTTATTTTTAGCAAACACAAATTTTAAGCATAAGGAGAGACATCGTCTAACATGGCGACCCCCTACACCAAACCAACGATGGACTCAAATAGACCATATTGCCATCAGTCATCGTTGGAGAGGGTCGGTAGAAGATTGTCGCTCATTCTGGAGTACCTGCTTGGACTCCGACCATGCCCTAATACGGGCACGCATCTGCTTGCGCCTCACTGGACGCAAAAAAGCCACATTAAAAAGACCCGTCAGAACTGAGTTGAGTAACGAGAAAATCAAAAGTAGGTTCCAGGAACAACTGAGGTCACACTTAGGTAGTTGTGAAGACGAGGCTGACCCAGATGTTGCTTGGAAGGGCATACAATCAGCTGTGGAAACAGCAGTGACATCTATTAGTGACTTAAACCACAGAGTTGCAAGGAACCAGTGGATTTCTTCAAGGTCTGTCACACTGATGGATTCTCGTAAACTCGTCCCATCAGGTTCTGAACATGATGAAGAGCGAAAACAAATCAGATCTAGGTTAAGAAAAAGTCTAAGGAACGACCGTGAGCAGTGGTGGGTAACGAAAGCAAAAGAGATGGAAAAGGCGGCGACTATAGGGAACACAAGACAGCTTTACAGACTAATAAAAGAAACTGGAATTACTAAGTCAAGTGTAAGTGAGATTATTTCGGAAAAAGATGATACTCTCATCTGCTCCCAGTCCAGGCGTTTAAAACGATGGGCGGAACATTTTAGAGAACAGTTCAGCTGGCCTTCAGCTACTGTACAACTACCCTCTATTCCCAGACAGTGTGAATGGAACATTGAAGTAGGTCCCCCAACTCTTGCTGAAGTTCAAAAGGCTATAGTTAATCTGAAACGAGGAAGGGCAGCTGGTCCAGATGGATTGGCTCCAGAGGTCTTTAAGGATGGTGGCCCAATTTTAGCGATTAGGTTGACTAATATTTTAGCTAAGATCTGGGAATTAGACTTTATCCCATCTGACTGGTCGCAATCACTTATCGTCCCAATATATAAGAAGGGGTCAAAATCATCCTGTGACAACCACAGAGGGATTAGTTTAACAAACATAGTATCTAAAATACTGGCCTCGATAATTATCAAACGCCTAACTAAGACTCGTGAACTACAAACTCGAGAGAACCAAGCTGGCTTTAGACCTGGTCGTGGCTGCATCGACCACATATTCACCATTCGTCAGGTTCTAGAACACAGGCATACCTATCGGCGTCCGACGATGGTGGTCTTTCTTGACTTAAAAGCAGCATTTGATTCTGTAGACCGCGAGACTCTGTGGCAGTGTCTGTCATTGAAAGGCGTACCTCAGAAGTACATAAACCTTGTGAAGGCTCTTTACTCGAACACTACTAGTCGAGTCAGAGCTTATGGCGAACTGTCATCTACTTTTGCAACTTCAAGTGGTGTCCGTCAAGGCTGTCCGCTTTCTCCATTTTTGTTTAACTTCATCATAGACCTATTGATGGAAATAACACTCTCGTCGACTGAATTCTCGGGTATTGATCTCCTTCCAGGAGGTCCACTTATCGACTTAGAATACGCAGATGACATAGTCCTGTTTGGTGAAGACGCTGACAAAATGCAGAGTCTTCTGGTAGCACTAAGCAACAATGCCAGAATGTTTGGAATGCGCTTCTCTCCCTCTAAATGCAAGTTGTTGCTTCAGGACTGGTCTGCGTCAACACCTGAACTAAGGATAGGGAGTGAAGTAGTCGAACGCGTCGACAACTTCACTTATCTTGGAAGTCTGATCAGCCCTAATGGGTTGGTGTCTGACGAAATCTCAGCACGGATTCGAAAAGCTCGTTTGGCTTTTGCCAACTTACGTCACCTTTGGCGGAGGCGAGATATCCGTCTATCAATAAAAGGACGAGTATACTGCGCGGCAGTCCGTTCTGTCTTACTTTACGGCAGCGAAACATGGTCTTTAAGAGTAGAAGACACTCGTAAGCTACTAGTATTTGACCACAGATGCCTTAGAAATATTGCTGGCATCTGCTGGGATCACCGGGTAAGTAATAGTGAGGTTAGATGCAGGGTATTAGGGAATGATGGTAAATCAGTTGATGAGGTTATGAATCTTCATCGACTGAGATGGTTGGGCCACGTATTACGTATGCCTGAACACCGATTACCACGACGTGCAATGCTAACCGGTGTAGGGGATGGTTGGAAGAAAGTTGGGGGCGGCCAAACCAAAACGTGGCATCAGTGCCTGAAGTCACTAACTTCTAGTCTGAGCCATGTTGGTAGATGCAGACTACTTGGTTGGGGTCCGCGTGACTTTCGTAACCAATGGTTGGAGACTCTTGGTGACATGGCTCAGAATCGATCACAATGGCGTCGGTGTATACACTCCCTGTCTTCCCTTAAACTAAGAGATTAAAATCACTTCATATCTTTCTTTCTACGAACTAATTCTTTCTTCCTATACTATATCCTTATTGCAACCTTTGACCTAACCACTCCTATGAATTCGGTATTCATCTTGCTGTGCCAATGAGGTATGGCAACCTGGACCGATGCACATATGTGCCTGGTCCTACGTTGTAGCTGACTGACTGACTGATATAGAGTACTTGACTGCTCGTTTATGACCGATTTTCATTCATTTTCAGAAAGTAATTGGTGACTTAAAAACCAGTACTTTGGATATGGTGCTTAGGAGACTATCTACAAACTACATTATGTGTCCCGACCGCCAGTCAGTGTGCCAGGATAATACTACATGTTGCCCAATGTCAGGTGAGATATGGGGTTGTTGCCAACATGCCAACGTAAGTTCCTTTTTGGAAATACCTCGTGTTATTACATTATTGCTTTATTGGTTCACTCATACATAGTATTTTAGAAATCCCCGTAAACGAATCTCTGGTACTCATCTTTTTTTTTGAACAAACATTAAATCTGGTTTAAATCGGAATACTAGTTGTCGTCCCTCCATCATGTAAAAACTTGTGTGACAAGCCAACAGCTACTTGAAATTTGGCGAGTCCCACTAACTTTTTCTTTGTTTTATGACTACTTAAGCCTATCCATTAGCAACTTCTTTAAGGGTTCAGTCAGTTTTTTTATCTTCATAGACTATAATAAATGCCATAATAGCCATGGGATTGGCGTTTACTAACCTTTATTTATTTAAACACATAAACATTGGTACAAGGAGGCAACAAATATATATGCGCCACACAAACCATTTGATTCCCGTGGGGGCTGGAATACTGCCCGTGTGTCCAAACTGAAGCAAGTGTTTTCTTTAGGGGGCCACTCCCCGAGCTAATGACCTAGAGGTATAACCCACAAGACAGTGGATCAAAGTTAGATGCAGTTCATGTTAGCTGGTGACCAACAATAAGTTCATAAGTCTCTTGTTCCCTCAGGATCCTGGTGCCCATGTGCACCACTAGTTTGGAATGAGGGTTTCCAAACTCCCCTAAGTGAATCCTTTATAACTACCAACCCTGTTAAAAATCCGAACATTCGCTTTTCGTCCTTTCAATTTCGTAAACAATATCCTCCTTGAGAGTAGGCAGTGTTTAGGACTTCCCTGACGGGCTGTATGCGCATGGCCATGTGAGAGCATTTAGAGAAGGAGAGTGAACTCTCCCCCCCTCGACCGTCCCAGGCATTTGGGAGCTGTTCGCTGATCAGTCCTCTACCCATCACTTCATAAAGTCATAGACAGTTGGACTTGGCCATGTTAATAGGTGTAGACTACGTGGTTGAGATCCGCATGATTATCATTACCAATAGTTAGGGACTTTGAATCACATGGCTCAAAATCGTTTGCAATGGTGCAGATGCATCCATTATTTGTCATCCCCGAAATTCTGAATTCCTCATAACCATTACTTTTGTTTTTATTTCATTAATTTACATTTTCTTTACAAATCGTGCCTGATATCTAATCTTTCCTATTACCACTGATACTGTTACTACCTCTAATACTCTAAGATTTCGCCTTACAATTCCATCTCTCTCTTTCTCTGTTATTTGGGTATGGGGACTTGAACCGATGTACACACGTACCAGGTTCTGCATTGTGACTGACTGTCTGACCGATAAATTCATAATTATTACTGTTACGAGAAACAAATATTGAGTTTGGAAATAATCCTTGTTATAAGTCAGAGATGGTGAATTTCACGTCGATTGAGTCTTGAATACTACAGAATATTGATAATGTTAAAAAGTCACATATGGATTTTTTTAACTCCACATTCCATAACTTATTATTAGTATAAGACTCTGAAGCAATAAGTTATAATTAATACTTCCGTTATCTAATCTAGATATAGTATATAGGAACGGAACAAAAGCAACATATTTACTTTTATTGAAAACATATGCTCACTACTGACTGGCTTCAAGATGTATATCCTGGAGTTCTAGTGAAAAGCAGTGACCAGTTGAGTTCAACCGGGTCAGTTGTGAGATGGTAACTCACTGATGACAATGTTGGATGTGTCGCTCAATTTCGTGGATTAGTTGAAGTTAGATATTAACACCTTTGGATGCCGGCTCAGTGGTCTAGTGGTTAAGTGGCCCTGGGTTTGAATCCCGGGAGACGGGGTCGTGGATGTTCACTGCTGAGGAGTCCCACAATAGGACGAAACGGCCTTCCAGTGCTTCCAGGTTTTCCATGGTGGACTCATGATCTCAACAATTGAAATTACTAAAATCTCCACAAAACCCCCTTCTGAAAATAATTTTCATTATGAACTAATATCAGTTAAGAAAACCGTTGAATTTTTCACTCAGTAAAATAATCACAATAAAATCCTACATTACAGTTGTATTTAATTCCATTTTCTATGTTTTTATTATGGTCAAGATCCACTGGATTGAGTCACGTTGCTCGGTTGATGGGCTTAACTTTTATATTTGATCACTTAATTGATGACTATCGATAGAGTAAATTATTATATCCAGTGATTGTAGTTAGATTTGACTGGTTAAGTCAAGTCAGTCAGTTGTATACTTTGTGGAACGCCTGACACTTGTTCATCGGTCCAAGTTGCCACACCACACACAGCGAGGTGGAATTATCAAGAAAGATTCGATTGCTTATAACTTCATAGACTGGTGCCACGTCTTGGTATAGTCATCCTTAACTTTCTTTCAGTCTACTCTTACACCTGACATCACCTGTCATGGTAGGTGGTGTTTGAGCATACGTAACACACGTCCTAACCATCTCAGTTTACTACATCATCAACCGGTTATATCTACCTATATGATTATAGTTTTCAATATCCTTGATATGAAGCTTGTCGACATTTCTACCCTCTTTACATGAAAATACTAGACGTTTTTGTATTGTGTTTTAGTAAGTTTACTATCTTCATTGCAAATGTTTATTAAAGTTGTATATCAGGGGGTCATATTTCACTAGTTATTAAGTGTATAAATGAAATAGGATCAGATAAACATGGTTTTCGAACAACAGTATCATGGGTAAATCCTAATTTTAGTCGTATCCACAGATAATTCAAGCAGTTAACTACAAATACAGTATGTGAATCAATTTTCCGAAGAAAGACATGGATTTCATTTTATGACGTATTCACAGAGAAGAAAACGAGATTACAAACCCAAGGCGAGGAGAATTGAACGCCAGTTTATGTAAGAAGCTTCCGGCAATGGGAAGTTTTTCGTCCAAACTTCATTCTATTCATACCACTAATAGCCTTCAAATAAAAAAATACCCCAGTTAAGTACATAGGACTGTACTTGGTAAATGAGTTCTACTGTTTATGTCCCTAAATAAGTCACCCAAACTCTGTGATGAGTTTTTTGTTTTATTCATAGGCTATTTGCTGTCCAGATGGAGAACATTGTTGCCCTCATGGTTCAGTCTGCGATATGGTGCATCGCTCATGTAAACCAGCTAAGTTCGATGAAATCCCAGAGATAAAAGAATCTTCCCACACCTTACACCTCGTATCAGCATCAGCTCCTGCACGTCTCAACCCAAATGTCAACCCATCTAAAGCAGGCTGGGGAAAAAAGATTCATAAACTGTCAGCCAAGTATTTACTAGCTTATTCTGGTGTCGTATGTCCAGATCCATTATATGAATGCCCAGCTAATACAACTTGTTGTCCTAGTCCAGATGAAACATGGGCATGTTGCCCTATTCCCCTAGTAAGTTTTTTTGATATTATCTATGAATTTATAATTCAGAACTGTGTTAAAATGTCCACAAATCAATATAAACCTCCTGATTTCTTGTGTTCATTTTTAATCTGAATTATATTGTTATTTATATTATAAAAGAATTATCCTACATTTCACAGTAACATTCCTCGCTTGATTAAGATCGCTCATTATCATATTGCTAATTAAAATGTAAAGGGTTTTTTTCAGGTTACTTAATATTTACTAATTTCTACGTAGAATTAGAAATTCAGATTTGGAACTTTGAATATATATTTATAAAGCTGGAATGTATGTAGCAAATATAATTCATTAGAGTGTTGAGTAAATTAGCCTAGTGACATAATTCCATACTTCATTAGTAACATTTTTAATCAATTTTATTGGGTTAGATTGGATGATGTTGGCTATCCAGTAGTGAACTACTAAAGATTTTTGTTTCATATATTAACAAACAATCATAATGCAATATCTAACACAAAAGTACACTAGTTCAAGTGACTGCGTCGCCCCTGACCGTTGCTTCCACCTTGATGTGGTGATCGGGCTTGCCTATCATGATGAAGCAATCGAACTTTACTGGATGGAACAATTGTGCCAGACAGGTCGGCTGAAAAGTGGTAAGATTAAAAGCAGCAAGCCTAAGACCAGAGGGCAAAATCATACTAGCGACTGTACAGAGGTGTGACGGCAGTAAGGTGCTTCCCTCAGACAACCAGCATAACAACGATGCCGCCTGACTAAAAGGGAGGGTGAAGTTAGAAAAGGTCGACCGTAAACATACACACTTCACCATATCCCAAGGATATCGTTCACCAGTGGTAAGGTCACAACAAGTCAGGAGCTAACACAAAGATTACTCACAGAAAGTTCGTGTGTCCGGCTTCAAGTAGTTGTCCCTTGGGCATTGTGGTCACGCTCTCAGTTGACCAAACCAACTCTAACCGAATTTCCTTTTCAGTTACCTCTAGAAGGGCCCTCCCACGGTGTGGGCAACCGGGAAGGGAAAACCGCTCCCATACCTCTAACAGCACTCATGACTGCAGCGCCTCAACAAGAAATCCTCAAAACCGAACGTAAATAATATGAATATAACCACCTAATATACACTTGTTTGTGTCACATTGTGGATATTTTAAACATAGCAGTAAAACTCCCACTCTTAAGAGTGGATAACTTCATTAGACATATCGTTGAACCAAATATGGTGGTTGACAATTTTCAGTTGTACGGGGAAGGGTGGTTAACATTGTGTTATACGAAATACGATTAGGACATATCATCCAATCACCTGTTCTCGATTAACTACTAGCATTGTGTTACTCCTAACACTACTATTTACCATACTTTGTCATTGTCTGTTTGACTTTGGACGATAGATATTTTGCATTTTCAAGACCTTAATATCTTATTTAATCTTATTCATAACCAGCATAATTTCATATGTTGTTGTGTAGAATATCACTTTTTAGTACGAATGTAATTTAGTGAACGAAGTTAAAAACTGATTTCCAGTTTTGATCGAATGTAAAATAGTTCTTAATCTAAACATAACGTCAATATTAGAAACTATTTACTAAACAATTTTATTTCTGTATTCCTTGTTCACTATTTCTTTCATCTATCTCTTATACCTACATTTAGTTAGGTTATCGTGATATTCTTTTCTTCATATTATGTAGACTGTCTCCTTTCCTGGTGTTTATAACGAAGCTTTGAATAAGTCCCTTGAACAGATGTACAGTAATAAAAATAGTTCACATTCTGTCGCAAATTTTAATTTGATTTATATGAGCTTATCAACATTGAATGACACACAATTATGTCCAGATGCAAAATCTCGCTGTAGCAGTGAACAAACATGTTGCAAACTAAAAACTGGAGAGTGGGGCTGCTGCCCTGTGATAAATGTGAGTAACTTACTGGAATGTTTAGAATTAGTGGGGTTCTACTGACCATTCAACAGGTTTGACTTGTTATTTTTTTGCTATATTATCTCATAGTGATTAAAACTTAACTACTTACGTTAAACCTATCCGATATTTAAGGCTTGAATCCTTAATACTGTAAAATACAACCAGATATGTTTTTGCCATATATATATATATATATATATATATTTGAACACAAATACTGGTAAAGTGGGCACCAGATACATATGCGCCGCACAAATCTCATTTGATTAGTGTGAGGGCTATGACACTGCCTGGGTGCCCAAACCGAAACAGGTGGGTTTTTTAGCGGACCACACCCGGAGCCTTCAACCTAAAGGTCTGATCCACAAGGCAGTGGAGCATCGTATGGAGATGCAGTCCCATGGTAGCCGGTCACCAACGATTGGTTCATACGCCATTTGTTCCCTCAGGATCCTGGAGCCAATGTGCAACATTGGTTTAGAATCAGAGTTTCTCAACTCCCCTAGGTGAACTCTCCGTGTCCACCGGCCCGGTTAAAGCCTCTGTCGGACACTCGCTTTCCAACCTATCAATTTCGTAAACAACATCCGTAGTGCGAGAAGGCAGTGAGTAGGATTTCCCTGGTAGTGCCTGTATACGCGTGGCTATGTGAGAGCATTTGGAGAGGGAAAGCGGACTCTCCCCACTCTCGGCCGTACCAGGGCACTTGAGGGCATATATATATATATTCAATTTTTTGTTTCTTGTGGACCTTTGTTTTTCTCTGACATTAGAAAGAGTCATCCTAGAAATATCTCAAATAATAAGTTATAGGGATTTGTTGTTAGTTATATGAAACATAGAAAATCATTAGTTTGTACATCATTCAATTCATGTTTCATTATTGTTTTACATTTTATTCGGTTCATTCTTTTTACCAAAATCAGTTACCATGAATTTTGTTACAATTCACCCCAGTCGATTGTTTCATTTCTTCATTAGTTTTAATTGATGTATTTGATAAATAAAATTCATGTATAGATTTAAATCTTTTGTAAATTATTATCTGTTAAAGTTATGTGCTATTGTTGGGAATACTAGATACCCAGAACTCACTTGATAAACGTTTATTTTTGTAAATTTGAATTTCTTGCTTTTCCGCCAAAAGTTTTCTTTTTTACCTTCATATCATTATTCCGACTTGTCAGGACCTTAAATATGACGTTTTCCAAAGACATTTGTATGCTTACGTTGTGCCTGTTTGTGAAATACATTTCCCTCCTGTGAAACTTAACTTCTCTCGTTAGTTAGCGAGGCTGGAACACATCAGAATAATTAATTAATTTGATCATTGCGTCATTGAGTCTCCGTTCCATTCTCAGATTTGGGTGATCTATTAATCTCTGCAAATATAACAGTTACATTCTTACAGAATTTAATCTATGAAAATGATAAATATAGTTCGTTACATATATATGATTTATATCAAAGGTCAATTCATATAAAGTGTTACTTAGTATCTAAATTATTTGTAATGAATGAATTAGAACATGGTGTGATGAATACTTTTTTTCTCTGTTGGTGATTAGCTACTTTGTTTTGAAACATTTTACTTATTTCAGCATAAGATTAAATTTTGTCTTAATAGGTGGCAAGTTTTGAGAGAGAGAGAGAGAGAAATCATATTTCAGTGTGTAGTATTGCGTGATTTTATTTCAAAATAACAGATATTTTCTTGTTGTTGTTCTTGGTAATTCACTATTTATATTTATTTTATTTGAAAACATAAATATTGGTACAAGGGGGCACCAAATATATATGCGCCACACAAAACCATGAGAATTTGAAGAGAAGAAAAAAGATAAGGAGCGTAAAAGAAAAAGAACAGTAACGAACAGATTAGTGTAAGGTAGTGTAATAATAATAATGGGAGCAACGGAAAGACACAACCAAGAGAAATTTTTCAGTTAAGGAAGATACAACCACTTTTTATGAAGAAAGTAAAGGAAGGTTACAACAGGATCCCCACTGGCTTCTATTCTGAGCCATATCTGATAACGTGTCTAACCACTGTGTCGCACCATCTCTCGGACCCCAACCAGGTATTCGTGAAGGACCAACACAAGCCAGCCCTTTGCAGCTTTCTTTCATACCACGACACCATGTCATACACTGACCATCTCTCCGCCTTTTCCAACCAGTTCCAGAGTCGGCAAATAATGCACGACGTGAAATTTTCTAGGACGTCATTCGTACAATATGTCCCAGCTCTTATGCGGCTACCTAGATACACGAAATTCTCGACTACTTCTATCTGCTCACCATCCAGAGTGAGTACAGGATTAGAATCCTGACAGTCTTGTAGAAGTACTTTGCACTTCGAAGGTGTAAAGCACATTGATTGCCAACTGATTAAGTGCAGATTGCATGGCTCGGGCATTATCGCATAGTAAGACAATACCATCCGCATACTGAAGGTCGAGAAGTTTTTCTCCAGGCAACAGATTCGCACCACCATTACTTACATCCATCAAAGCTGTTTCCAGAATGTCATCGATAGCAGGGTTGAAGAGGAATGGTGAGATTGAGCAACCCCGTCTAACCCCGCTGCTTGAATCGAACAATGGAGAAAGGTGGTTGTATGCCCTCACTCTGCCTGAGTTGTTTGTATATAAGGCTCTTAAGATGTTAATAGACTTCTCAGACACACCTTTCTTCAATAGACAATCCCAGAGAACAGTCCTATCCAACGAATCGAAGGCAGCCCTGATGTCAAGAAACACTTCGATTGTTTGCCTTTGAAAAGTATGACGGTGTTCTAACATTTGGCGGAGGGTAAATATATGATCAATACATCCTCGACCAGAACGAAAACCAGTCTGCTCCTCGCGAGTCAACCTTTCTCGGGTTTTGAACAACGTACGAAGTATGACGGAAGCCAATAGCTTGGACGCAATCGGAAGTAGACTTATCACCCGATAGTTGTTACAGGAACGACGTGAACCCTTTTTAAAGATAGGGACAACTATCGACTTATTCCATGACGTTGGTACACTCTCTAGTTTCCAAACCTTTGTAAACAACGTCGTCAATTCCTTAGTCAAAAAGTCACCACCATCTTTAAAAAGAGCCGAAGGTAAGTCATCTGGGCCAGGTGATTTGTAACGCTTCAAGAGTTGGAGTTCCTTGCGGACTTCCGCCTCATTTGGTGGATCAGTCGTCACCGGCCATGGAGGGCAGGACAGTCTGAACGATGTTGCCGGAGCAGCAGGCCAGTTGAACTGCCTTTCGAAAAATTCTGCCCATCGTCCAAGACGTCGATGGATGTTAGTGATTGGCATCCCATCATCCTCGCAGATTGTTTCGCTCGCACCAGACTTCTTGCTGCCAGTGGCTCGGATGAGTTGGAAGAGCTTCCGGTAGTTACCAGCTACTCCTTGCAGCTCATTAGCACGCCCCGACCACCAGGCTTCTCGGTCTTTACGCAAGCTTTGCTCAATTTCATTACGTAATATCCTTCGTTTATGGTCAAACTCGCGGTCACCTGGAGTAGACCGACGGGCATCAATGAGTTGTAAGGAGCCTGAAGAAACTCAGTACTTATAAGCGGGACGTTTCGCGAAGCCGCAAGCAGCTTTACTCACCACTTTGATGGCGTCGTGAAGTTGCAACCAATGTTCATCTATACTTTTCAGTAGTATGGTAGCTAGCTCGATTCGATACTTACTAGCAACAGAAGTTGCAACCAACTTGCTGACATCGATCCGCTGGTGGCGGTCACTTCGTTGTCCACTAAAAAGTAAGGTAAGATTAGCGCAAACAAGGGCATAATCAGAGTCCAGATAGGTACTCCAAAAGGAGCAGCAGTCTTGTACACAACCACGTCAGCGGTAGCTGACCGCGATGTGATCAATCTGAGTCCAGGCTTGGGATGCAAAGGGAGGACGCCAGGTGGCACATCGGGGGTGACTGTGCCGAAAGTTAGTGCTAGCCAGAAACAGGTTGTGGTCTGTGCAGAGTTGCAGTAGACGGTCCCCGTTATCTGTCCTGCGACCAACAAGTCCCCATCGGCCACCTAAACGACTCTCTTCTGTGCCTAGACGCCCGACCTGAGCATTCAAGTCTCCGGCTAGTACTACAATATCTGTCGAACGCACTTTCTGGCGAAGAACAGTTAACTGGTGGTAAAACTCATCATTGATTGCATCCGGGCTGCAATCTGTCAGGGCATAGGCGGAGATGACAAAAAGACATCGTTTCTCACTCCGATTTCTTCTCACTTTGATGGAACTTTCTAATCTAACAGCACATAACCGACTGTTAATGCGGATCCAATCGATTAGTGCTGCCTCAGCTCTAGCGCTTAGTGCGACACCAATGCAAGCAAGACCAAACGAAGATGCTTCAATTGACTCATGATTTCAACCAGTGAAATTTCTAAAAATCTCCACAAAACCCATTCTGATAATAATAGTCTATCAGTTTAAAAATTCCCATAGAATATTCAAAACTGAAGAATATTTGAGCGAACGATTGTTTTCAATAACTTCATCATCAGGCTCTACAGTTATAAGTTCATAATTATGATATTTTTTACAAAGTCCAAAAAAATAAGGCAAGTGTTAATGAATTTGACAATGTTACGTGTTAAAATTGGTAAACGTTTGCATCTGTTACGATAAATATCTATATACTTCAAAATTGTATTATTTGACAAATTAGAAAGGTCATTCAATAAAGGTCAGGACGATTTGGAGTAAAGTGTTCAGTCACCATAAGTAGAATAGTATTATAGCAAAAATGAAAATGCTGAAAATTGTGTGAATAAAATGCATAGTAGGAGAATTTAATCTTGTCAATTGAGATAATAATAATAAGATTGTTTTGGGAATATAATATGGGATAAGGAGGGTGTTATCAAGGTAATTACGATAAACGAATCGGGAATGATCGATGTGAAGATTAAGATAGAGATAATAAAAAATAATGATAATAAGGAGAAAAAAATAAAGGAAGGGGGTAAGAGGTTTATAATATTCAGTCTAGGTATTAGGTGGTCCAGTCGTAGGCCAAGGTAAATCTAGAGGCTGGATATATTTTTTCTGGGTGCATAAATTTGGTCTTCTGTAGTTGATCCATATGGCTTCGGCTATGTAAAGCAGTCGTAATCTAGCCCCGTGAGGTAGATATTTTGGAACTTGATCTAAAACAGAGATAGCTTCCTCTATTTTGATATGATGTTCACTATCTACCAAGTGAGAAAGAATGGTACTGTTAATCGATTTGGTAACTCGTTTTCCCAACCATGCTGGTACAGGTTCACGAACACGCAAGGATAAAGCCCTCTGAGCACGTCCTATGTAACTAGCTTCACAGGAGCAGTTGAATTGGTATACATACATGGAAGAGCCCATCTTCGGTGACCTATCCTTGATTAGTTGTGTGAGTACTGGTTTAGTCGAGAAAAATCTGTGTAACTTGGCGGCATGAAACGTCCTTTCGACAGATCTTTTGAGTCGACGTGTTAGAATATCACCCGCTATGTCTCCTTTAAAGTTAAGTCTCAGGTATAAGGTCTTTTTACTGACTGTGTCGCAATGTCTTCTTTTTTAGTACTTTGTTCGAGGTATTTTTTTGATGAAATTATCGGGATAGCCATTATTTCGTAATGTGTTCTTTAGTATATCTATTTCGTCATCTACACTGTCTTCAGAACATAATAACTTTATTCTGTGGTTGAGACATTTAACCAAATTTATTTTATATTGAAGAGATGTGAAGCTTTGGAAATGGGTATATTGACCCGGCTGTCTTTCTGGAAAGTAGGACATCTAAAAAAGCTATACTATTGTCTCTCTCCTCTTCGCTGGTGTATTTAATGGTTGGGTGGACATTATTGAAACAGTCCAACATCTGTTTGTCGATATTTTTGTCACATATGATTAGTGTGTCATCTACGTATCGACAGTAATAACCAAGCTTACTTAGGATTTCTTTAAGCGGTCCATTTTCTAGTTTGGTCAGAAAAATATTAGCAAGGATCGGGCCTAGAGGTGATACCATTGCTACCCCATCTACTTGTCTTGAAAATTCATTGTTAAACTTAAAGTAGATATTCATAGTGCATTTCAACAGAAGTTCTCTCATTTTACTTACTGGGATCGGTATCTCTATTTTCTTTTCTAGCAGTTGTTCACATATATAATCGATAGTTTCAGTCAGAGGGATGTTAGTGAGCAAAGATGTTATGTCTAGTGATAACATGGTTTTGCCATTTATATTCATATTTTTCATTGTATCCACAAATTCAAAGACGTCTTTAACACTATGCTTAACCAGTTCTTGGTGCAGTGGTTCTAATAATTTAACTATCCATTTTGTTATTAAATGGTATGGTGAGTTTGCCATATCCAGTATCGGGCGTAAAGGAACATCAGGTTTATGAATCTTAGGTGGACCATATAGTCGAGGGGTATGTGATCCCGAAGGCTTGAGCGCATTATAGGTATGCTCAGTGATGTATTGATGTTGTTTTCAAAAATTTTAATGCTGCAGTTAGTTGACGTTCGGTCTTTTCATTGAGGTCTTTACATGACCCAAGCTTTTGGAATTTGGTTTGATCTATGTAACCTGTCTTGTTTAGAATTACAGTGCAACTATTCTACTTATTGTGACTGAACACTTTACTTCAAATCGTCCTAACCTTTATTGAATGACTTTTCTAATTTGCAAATAATACAATTTTGAAGTATATAGATATATATCATAACAGATGCAAACATGCACCATTTTTAACACGTAACATTTTCAAATTCATTAATACTTGCCTTATTTTTGACCTTTGTAAAAATATCACAATAATGATGGACTTATAACTGTAGAGCCTGATAATAGTGTATCATTTACAAATATAGCCGACTGTGAAATAGGTAGTAGTATCTTACAAATTAAATTGAGTGAATTGTTTACCTTAGACTCTTTAAATAATACATGGAATTAGTAAATTTAATGTTTATTCATAATAATATAATGTCTAATTGACGTTAATAAGTTGTAAACATTCAATGTGTTTCTTTCTTGATTATATGCAAAATATCGTAAAGGCTCCTATACACAATCACTTCAAACAAAATGAAGATAAAATTACAAAAAAAAAACTTTCTGCTTATAGTAGTCACCAATGAATTTTTATCAATATAATCTTTTCATTCTATTTCTTAGGCTGTATGTTGCAGTGATGGAGAACACTGTTGTCCTGAAGGTTATGTATGTGATTTATCTGTTGGAGAGTGTATAAATCGTTCTAAATCATCAAATGAATTGAAAAAGTTTTTACCAAACATTAATTTATCATCATTACCAACAAAAATTGGTTATAATAATCGTTGTCCTAACAGTGATGTTTATTGTGAAGATAATTCAACTTGTTGTGAACATGATAAGGAATGGGGTTGTTGCTTGTTCTCAAATGTAATTTTATTATATTACATTGTATAAATATTCTTTTGATTAAATCTCAAGATTTTAAATTCAATCCTTTAAGTTAACTCATAGATAATTATTGCTTGAAACGTTCAATATTATGCGATAGTTTCAGTTGTCTTCAATTTAGATTGGATGCAAATTTTTATATGAAAAACTGATTGTTCTCATGCCGTTGAATACACTTAAAGGTAATTCCTGGACTTCTAGTGAGAAATCTTGATTATGAAAGTTCAGTTGTGTTAGGCGTTAGACAGTTGTTCCTAGTTGTTATAATGTGAGTGACTGCAGATTAGAGGACAGTGTATTATCGATCGATCCAAAGACGCGTAAGACACGTAGGAACGACCTAGGGCTCTGGTTGGTCCGCTTCCCTGTCTAGCCCAGCCTGTTAAGTCCAGAACTCAAGTCTCAGCCTCAGCGATATGAATCATTATATTTCAGACATACTCTGTTTATATACCAATCAATCAGACCTCATCGTACCGTAAAATAGAAAACAACATTTGTACAATATTTAACAAGTGAAATAAATATTGACCAATAGGGAATGTCCATTTAAAGTCCAAGGACACCACTAGACTTGACATGATAATTATTGGGATAAGAGGTCTTGGATTATGACGTGAAATTCATCCATTTGGCAATATACTGTTTTGGCATATCTGATGTCAGTTTGTATTGAAGACCCTAAATCTAATTCGTAACCTCAACTATCAACTGTAAACAATCGTTCTAATTCCTCAAACTGATTTATAACCTTCATTTGGTTCTAATTAATAGGTGGTCACTCTAGTGTCGCTGAAAGGTTGTCGATAAATTATAGTCTCACCACAGTATCATCTATGCGTTTCACTACGTTTACTCAAGATGTAATAATGTAATTCAATAATCACCAATTGGAGCTATTTGTTCTCAACTCGAAGTTATATATATATATATATATATCGTTTCTACATTTGATACTTGTATTTTTATTTTTTAAAGGCAGTCTGTTGTTCCGATGGTGTTCATTGTTGTCCAGCAAATACAATTTGTGATTTAAAAGCAGAAATGTGTATTGGTGAATCAGGTGATATTCTCACTAAACTACAATTGAAATCTAAACCTAAATTTAATTCATTCAAATATAATTCACGTATTAGTATTTGCTCTGATATGAAATCAGTTTGTATTAATGGTACATGTTGTTCCAATGTAAATGATCAATTATCAACACTTTGTTGTCCTTATGAAAATGTATGTTTTAAAAGTCTATTTATTGTTATGTGTTATATTTTAACATTCGATTTGAATTTGTTTCCTCTATGTTTTTTTCCGAGATGGACGGTTTATAACTGGATGTACTTGCACCTCAGAGTTGATGTTCACTCTGGGACTCAAACCCCGTACTGTTCGCTTCAAACTCCATCGCGTTATCCACTTAGCTACTGAGTCCTGATAGCCACTTGCTTGTGCAATGGGGTGAAGTTTGAATTCACTTGATGCTGTTTATTTTGAATCTTCCCATTGATGTTTAGGACTACAATTGATCAATCTCAGTGATGTCTTATATATTTTTTGTTGGATAAACGGTACTATAAGTTTTAGAATTAATGAATAGTGAGTAATAGTAGGATTCAGTAATCGTGTTTCGTCTTATTTTGAACTTATCATCTGAATATATCTGCATCCTATCATCGATGTTTAGAGTGTCATGTAATTTATAACACTATTCGTTCTTAGTTAAAATATAAAGTGTCTTTTATGTATTTATTTATTTAAACACATAAACATTGGTACAAGGGAGCGCCAAATATACACGCGTCATACTTCGTCATTTGATTTGTGTGAGGGCTGGAATACTACCTGGAAGCCTCCCGGACAGGTAAACGGTTGGTGACTGTCGTACTCCATCATGCTTTACTGTGTTTTTAGACAATTCGTTAGTAGTCATTCTATTTGTGTTCCATTATTATTGTTAATTAGGTCAATATTCAAGGCGAAGTCGACATCATAAGTTGATAGTTATAGAAAAATTCAAAGATGTACTTTGAAATCGTTTGTTTAATTTTAAAAAAAAACATATTTCAGTAGTATATGTATTCATAATGATGTAAATTTATCATATGATTGATTCATCAGTCAGTCAGTCCAATTACTTGGCTAATATGATACAATTGACCACTGATGCCTCAGAAATATTGCTGGCGTCTGCTGGGATCACCGGGTAAGTAACAGTGAGGTTAGACGCAGGGTATTAGGGAATGATGGTAAATCAGTCGATGAGGTTGTAAATCTTCATCGACGGAGATGGTTGGGGCCACGTGTTACGTATGCCTGAACACCGATTACCACGACGTGCAATGCTAACCGGTGTTGGAGATGGTTGGAAGAAAGTTGGGGGCGGCCAAACCAAAACGTGGCATCAGTGCCTGAAGTCACTAACTTCTAGTCTGAGCCATGTTGGTAGATGCAGACTACTTGGTTGGGGTCCGCGTGACTATCGTAACCAATGGTTGGAGACTCTTGGTGACATGGCTCAGAATCGATCACAATGGCGTCGGTGTATACACTCTCTATCTTCCCTTACACTAAGAGATTAAAATTGCTTCATATCTTTCTTTCTACAAACTGATTCTTTCTTCCTGTACTATATACTTATATGCAATCTTTCTCTTACATATTACTACCTTTGACCTAACCACTGCTATGAATTCAGTATTCATCTTGTTGTGTTAATGAGGTATGGCAACTTGGACTGATGCATATATGCGCCTGGTCCTACGTTGTAGCTGACTGACTAACTGATGATACAATTTTTATTATAATTTTCAGGCCGTTTGTTGCAACGATGGTGAACATTGTTGCCCAAAGGGTACAACATGCGATATGGTCAATGGTGGTTGTATTATTTCACAAGAAGATTTACCAAAATCTAGTTCTGTTCCATTGCTTACCAAGATCTCAGCTTTACATGTTACTTCCAAAAATAACACACAGTCTACTGTTTTCACACAAGTTTGTCCTGGTGGTAAAGCGAAATGTCCAGATAGTGCAACATGTTGTAAATTATCTAGTGGGGAATATGCATGTTGTCCAATTCCAAATGTGAGTTTCCATCAAAATAGGAGTTTTATTAATATAAATTAGTAATCATACTTCGATAACAAGGTTGCAGACTTTATTCTTTTTTTACTTAAGTTGAGTTATGATAAGTCAGTCCGCCTACTTGAACATTTGTTTCTAACTTTCCAGCCGCTTCCTATAACCACAGATTAAGCATACGCCTAAACTTGAACAATAGGAAAAAGGAGAGAAATGTGAGTCAGCTCTTTACTTAAAAATGAGTTATGTCAGTCACTCATACTGGATAACCTGTTACGTGTGTACATCGGTTCAAGTCTCCATACCCAAATAACACAGAGAGAGAGATGGAATTATAAGACCAAATCTTAGAATGGTAGAGGTAGTAACGGTAACAATGGTAATAGGAAAGATTAGATATCAGACACGATTTGTAAAGAAAATATAAATTAGTGAAATAAAAACAAAAGTAATGGTTATGAGGAATTCAGAATTTCGGGGATGACAAATAATGGATGCATCTGCACCATTGCAAACGATTTTGAGCCATGTGATTCAAAGTCCCTAACTATTGGTAATGATAATCACGCGGATCTCAACCAGGTAGTCTACACCTATTAACATGGCCAAGTCTAACTGTCTATGACTTTATGGACTGACGGCATGTTTTGGTTTTGCCGCCCCTAGCTTTCTTCCGGATTACTCCTGCACCACACAAAATCGCCCTATGGAGATTATAAAATTTTGAATCCGTTGATAAATATCGCGTGCCATATCACCAATCACAGTCCTAATTCTAATTTAATCTATTTCGCGTCTATCACTTTCTCGATAGCCCAGTTTCCTCAATTTGTATAAATACATGCTCGATCAGTACCATCAGCTGTAAATCAAACAACTCACCTCCTATTGGTCCGCTATTCATACACTCCTCTCTATGCCCTGCCCTGAGTTGAGGAGTAGCAACCAGCCTCTCCTACGTTCCTATTTCAAACAGATGCGTTTCTTATACAGGCATACCAGACCGCATTACACCATAGAACAAGTCAACGGTGTCTGTGTATGGGAGAGGGTGTAAATAATGGAATGAGAATAAAATAGGTATAGTAAGTCGTACAACAGTACTGAATGAGTCAACTGAAATCCTATGATAAATGGTATATATATAACAATTTTTCAATAACCATGGCTTCTATAAATCTAAGAATGGGCCCTTGATAATTTCTGTACAAAGCCTTAAAGACTATCTCAGGGTTGATCCTTTGGCTTGTTTCAATTGTGTTTTACAATCTAGGAGCCTGGTTTTCTACTTTCTGCTTTTATTCAGTTGATTAAGACTCAATATTCATTGAGCTATTTTGGCATATGCTCCATCACAGCTGATTAAATGGAGAAGTAATCAAAAATTCTGTAGTAAAGGAGACAAACAATCGTTAATTTCAGCATAGCTTTGGATCGTTTTGACATAATCAAGAATTCGCTGTTCATGATGAGGATTTTAAACAAGTTTTCTTAGTTGATTGTTTTAATCTTTTATTGTCTTTTTAGATAGAGTCATCTAAAGATGCTTTTTTAAAGGATATTTTAGTGATGTTGTTTAGGACGATTAAAGCTCCATAGACCATTGAACCAACCAGTTCAGGCGAACAGAATACATTCACAATTTTGAAAACTTGTTCAATATTTTATTGATTACGAACCGATTTAAGTTAGATTACCATTAAAAATATGGAAGCACTGGACAACTGTTTCGTTTTTGTATGGAACTTCTCAGTGGTGGTGCACATTTATGACACCGATATGGGGGACCGAACCCAAGACCCTGTTTAATATTGATAGAAATGATTTGAATATCTGAATGCATCATTAACAATTAAAACGTTTGTCAATAGTTTTTGTTTTATTAACATATTGAGATAAAGCAACGTTTTGGCTTTTGTAATAACAAAGTTTTCTATGATAAAGGTACTTGTCATCTAGTTTCAATGTTAAAGATGCTACCAGTCTCTCCCAATCTTAATTTTTCCCCAACCGTAGTTAAAAACAGTAGTCGGCGTTTAGATTCGTATGAACATCGGTTCGTTGGGTAAAGGAAATATGAAACTTTGTGGCAGGCCTATTAGCTACGGGCAACTCAATCATGTTTCAGAGAACATCTTTTAGTTTTTTCGCGTTATCTATTCTGTTTTTATAACTAAATGCCATTCTGGCATTGTAGTTTATTTCAGTTCCGAATTATCTTAATGAAAATAGTTGGTAGAAATTCCTCAATTTGCTATTGTAGTATTTCTCAATGTTCGTATATAAACTACAGTCTTGCTAAAAAAAATTTAATTTGTCTCCTGATTTTACAGTGCTCTTTTGTTTCCTATCTTATTTAAAATTTCAATTGGTATATCCATCTATAAATAATGAACGACAAAAATGTAGTGCCATTTATGACTTCAATTACTCTCGTATTTCTCCTTTCTATTAAATGGATACTAAATTGCTTAGAATGAACACTGAACGATTTATCCGCGTATACAACTCATTCACTCTACACTAGATACTCCGCCAGGATTATTCTATCAGATATCAATAAAAATAAAATAAAAAAACACATAACTGACCTGAATAATACATGCATTAACCAACAACCGACAATAATTAAACACAAGAGGTCGGGAAATATATATGATACATCATCAAATACCTGTCAAACTATCTGCCAGGTTCGTCAAGGTAACTCAACCAGTCTTTTTTTCTCTTGCTCACAAAACAGAAACACAATTGAGAACTATCATTTCACCTGTTCTCGAAATCTGATTTTCATAAAAAATACATGATATTTTTCAATGGATATAATAATTAGGTGGTAATTTTGCTTTATATGAGCTGCAATTAGTTAGCTTATGTGTGTTAATCAATCAAATTATTCCCAGTTGCCCATTTTATGTAATGATGCCTCTTAAAGAAACTGGAGTTTTATTGATTGTAGTGACCTGGGAACGTGGCTGCAGTACCAGAGGAACAACTTCTCGATCTTTTTTGGAATTGTTGTCGGTAAGTTAGTTCTGTACTTTAAAGGTCCTATTACTAGAGACAAGAGTCTATGGGATAGGAAAAATTGTCACATTCTTAGGACTGGTATTTTTTAACCCCTCCTTTTTGTTACAGCACCGCTGCAAGTGTTGGTTATGTGGAGAAAACAGCTTGCTGCCACCACATATCAGTAACAGTCAGCAGTTTGACTTCACTATTGGACCGTAAGTTGTTACTTTTAGTCTTATGATTTTGAGATGGTGTAGAAGGTTTGTAGCTCATGTGAATAACTTAGGTGGAGTTTTGTTCTGTGAGCGCGATCATTATCACATCAAGGTTGGGATACTAGATCACAAACTAGTTTTGCCTATTGGAGAACAAGCTGACTTTTCCTTTTTTTCTTATCTGATTTGTGAAATTTGTAAAAACTATTCACCTTTTCTTCAAATTCTGTATTGTTATGTTCAATTTCATTATAGGCTATTTGTTGTACAGATGATATTCATTGTTGCCCATCAGGAACTTCATGTGACTACAAAACGCTGTCATGTGTAAAAACGGACAATGGTCATTCAATTGGAAGCCCAACAGCTAATGAATTATTACGTAATCCTGGATTGTTGTTTACTGGAGTACGTGATCATGTTTGCCCTGGTCATCAATCTACATGTGCTGATGATCAAACTTGTTGTCCATTGCCTGATAAATCGTGGGGTTGTTGTCCACTGAAAAATGTACGTGTTATATATATGTATATGTATATATATTTTAAATGGAGTTTAAATATACATAGTTTATATAATTCACTATGAATTTCTTAGAATTTACTCCAGGGTTGTTCATTTTAGCATCAATATAGTACATTAAAGTGATTAAATGCTGTGCCTGGATATCATTTCACTTTTATTCTCAAACACATTTTAAGTAGTAATGTTCGTATGTATATCTTTCGCTTTTATTTATTTATTTATTTAGATGTCAAATTTCACTGCTGTCTATTTGTTTGACGTCTCTCTACTTATATCCTCTTAGTTTTTTTGTAATATTTCCGTAAAATTACCGTTCTGCAATTGCACCGTCTCTCTCATTATGTGTAATCTTGAGTGCTGTTAAAGGCACTGTGGAGGAATTATCAATTTCATATCATTCAAGTTGTGGAAGTATTCTTCTTTAGTTACGTGAAATTGAAATTGTGTTAGGGATAACCTTAACAACCTAGGAGCTTGGCCGCTAAGGCCAGGAGAAAATCAGATAAGTTCGATCACTCACAACCTTTCTGATATTAGAAGAGAGACGATTGATTAAATGACTAAGAATCGTTTACAATAAAACATGTATTTATTTATTATCTTCACCTAGATTTCAATTTCGAGTATTCGTTTATGCACATTTCTTTCATTCTGTCGTCTTGAATGATGTTTTCACTGTTCTATCTTTCTCATTTTCAGTATAGGGTTGTGGAGATTGTTGAGTTTTAATTGAGCTCATGAACCGATAAATGTTAGACCACTATTGAAAACCTGGAGGCACTGTGGACGGCCCTTTCTTCCTAGTATGGTACTGATAATTATCATATGTTCACTGGTGACTAGATTTGAGAAGTAATTGTCGGGGTTCAAGTGCTAAGCCATAACCACAGGAGTTCAACTGTGTCGAATGTGGGGGAGTTACCTACCGAAGACAATGAAAGATGGTCACCTAATATTGTGGGTTGACTAAAGTCAGATATTAACACCGTTGGATGCCGGCTCATTGGTTTAAAGGTTAAGCGTTCGTGCGCGCGACTGAGGGTCCCGGGTTCGATTTCTGCGTGTGAGATCGTGGATGGGTACTGTTGAAGAGTCCCGTACTAGGACGAAATCGCCGGTGCTTCTAGGTCTTTTTACTTTCAGTTCTACTCAATTATTTCCACTCCTTTATTATTTATTCCGGCCATTTCACCTCGTTATGTTAATGTGGTGCAGAAGCTTAGATCATCTTATATTTATGCTGGACTGTTGATTATAACTAATTACTGACTCTTCACTCTCTCTCTCTTTATATATATATATATATATATATATATATATATATATATATATATATATATATATATATATATATCCCCAAATGCCCTGGTAAGGCCGAGAGTGTGGATAGTCAGCTCTCCCTCTCGAAATGCTCTCACATGTCTACATGCATACAATCACTGCCAGGGAAGTCTTACTCGCTGCCTTCTTGTGGCAGGGGTGTTGTTTACGAAATTGACAGGACGAAAAGCTAATGTCCAGCGCTTTAACCGGGTTGGTGGATACCAAGGATCCTTCTAAGGGAGTTGGAAAACCCTGATTCCAAATCAATGGTGCACATTGGTTTCAGGATCCTATGGAAAAAATGGCGTATGAGCCTACTGTTGGTCACCGACTACTATGGGACTGCATCTCCTTAGGTTGCTCCACTTCTTTTTGGATAAGACCTTTAGGTTGAATGCTCCGGGTGTGGCTCCTTCAAGAAAACCATTTACTTCAGTTTGGTCACCCGGGCAGTATCCCAGCCCTAACATAAATCGAATGATTTATGTGGTGCATATCTATTCGATCCCTCTTTGTACCAATGTTTATGTGTTTAAATAAATTATATATATATAATTGTTTGTGTATAGCGTGCCAGTTCAATCTCGTGCATAGTTACACATCATCATATCTATCCATTCTCATTTCTAATTAAACAATATATTATTTGATAAAAAATCAATCCAATTATAACTAATTTTGCATAAACTCTAACTAGTGATTCGCAATTAGTTATTATTCTATAGACAATTAATCGATTACATAATGAAAATTTCATCGGTTTGTCATTAGTATACCAATATGAAATATTTGAAACAATGAAAAAAACGTTTAACACCCTTTATGTTGTATAATTGAGAGGTAGCTACTTACATGGTAACAATTAAAATTTTAATACTGTCTGTCATAAGTTCCGTCTACTTCATTGAATGGTGCAAGAATCGACTAATTATTGATTTAATTTAATGATTTATTCATAGGATAAGAGTATTATTGTTTCGATGATAGAATTTGCTTATTTTCAATTTAACAGAACAAATATTGTTCAGTTGTAAGTATACAATGTATTTATGTGTCATTATTAGTGTGTTAATGTTATGACTTAAGACGCTAATCAATATCATGTTTGTTATTACCTAGTCAGCATTCCGATTGTCAATTAGTTCACCTATATGTATTGCAAGTAGGATTAGTGACTTTCAATTGCACTGACTAATACATACCTACTAATGAACTACAATCAAGGCCTTAACACGCTTATTTGTCCTCAAGCTCCTTCTAACCCCAATGATCAATCAGAAGATGACGATAGGATTCAGATTAGTTCTCTATTGTACTCAATTCAATTATGATTCAAAAGTTATACAAAAATATATTTAAAATAACAACACAGCACACTAAATAATAAATCTTGCTGTAAATAGAATTATGCTGATCGCGGACTAAACAGTCTGTAACTAATTAGCAATAACTAAGGAACACTCAAATATGTAATGACAGTTAATAGATCCACTGATAGCTTACAATTAGGGAAACACAGAAATGCGGCATTACAGTTATCTACTAATTATACCATAAAAGTATAGATAATAACAATTTGAATGGTAGTTTTGAAATCCCCAACTTTTCCAATATTTTCATCCTGTTATAAGAGCTGGAGATTGCTAAATTTTGAATTTTCACATTATGATTAATATCTTCAATGGTCATGGAATATAGCGAATTGAATGAAGCGAGGGTTGTAAACTATTGGGTGGCATTTATGTGTTTTGAAGGATAGACACTCATCGCGATGCTAACAGGTCCTCAATTCAATCTCTAGTTGGGTCCTGGACCGAATTCCCAATGAGTTCCATGCTCGGATAAAACAAGCGTTCAGCATTTCCTGATTTTTAATGCCTGCTTAACCTACATAAAATAAATACTCTGGCATGTCTGAGAATAGGGAGAGTTCATTGTTCTTCTAGAAATGCTCTCATATTACACGTTATTATATCCTCTGTTAAGGGATACTCACTCACTACATTCACACAGCAATTGTGTTGTTTACGAAAATGAGAGGAATAAAACCAGACGTCCGTCGGTTAAATGAGGGTTGGTAGACAACAGGAGTTCATCTAGGGGAGTTGAAAAAACCCCGACTTCAAACTAATAGTGTAGATTGGTATCAACGTTTCGAGCGAACAAATGGCGTACGAGCCTACTATGGTTACCGACTACTATGAAAATCCATTGCTTAATGTTTCCATACTGGCTTGTGAATTAAGTGTCCACATCAAAAGCTCTACGAATGACTTCAGAATAACAGTACCCGTTACGATTTAGACTTATTAATGCAGTATCTCATACAAATCTCGTACAAATATTTTCATAATTTTTTGTCCTGCAAATACTATTTATTGGCTCCGTCCAAGTTATACAAGATTTTATATGAATTTAATAGATATCCATAGTTAATCTACAGAATGAAACTTTATTTCTGATACATTCACATTCTACTTTCCTGGCTCTTTCTATATCCCATATCTTGACAATCTTTAATGTTTCTTATTATTATTATCATCATTAGTGAACTAAGAACACCATCAATTATTGTACAAGTTTATATTTTTTATCCCATAAAGTTTATATTAAAATAGATGTATAATAAAGAGATATTACTTCGTTACCTATCTACCTACCTACCTACCTATATGGCTCCTTACCTACGTATCAACTTCCAGCTTTTTTTTCATATTGTATGTTAAGACATAAATAGTAAATGACTCTAATGTCCTGTTAATCATGGCAACAGAATAATAATAATAATAATTGTTATTATTACATAAGATTGTTTATCTAATCAACCAAATTAATGTATGTATGTTTCCTTTTGTCGAGAATAGAAAACACAATATGAAATAAACAGAATGAAATATCATTCGATAAATATCATAAAATTTCATGGTATTTGTTAAAATTTATTACATAACTATTTTAATGGTACAATTAGGTTAGTTGTATGTGATAATCAAATCGATAAATCACAAACAGAACTAGAGTAAGCCTTCATTTCCAATGGGATTAAATTTTGTGTGGATTAGTTGTGTTCTCTGGTGGTGGGCGGCCTATGCTCCATTAGGAGTAACAGGCGTAAGTAAGTAAGTAAGCTGTGTTCTCTGGTTTGTTCTGAGTAGTTTAATCTTGAGGCTTTTATTGTCTTTCTACTTAATATGATTCATCAGCACTCATTCCGATTAGAGATAAGCTGTTTGTGTTCTTAAAAAAAATTAACTAACAACTCGTTTTCCTAGTTTAGATCACAAATTGATCTTAGCCAGACTACCACTGAAAACCAGGAAACACTGAACAGCTTTGGATGTACACCAACGGATTTCGGCTCAGTTGCCTAGGTGTTAAGCGTTCACAATCCCTTTGTTTGGGTCGTGGTTGCGTGTTACCACTGAAAGGTTCCATACTAGAATGTAATAACTATTCAGTGCTTTCTGGTTTTCAGTTGTGGTCTAGCTAAGACCATTTCGTGACTTAAAACTGCAAAAAGTTTACTGTCCCTGCAAACAGTAATGTATTAATAGCAACTTGTTTTGTTAACCTTAATATTGATCGATTATTGTATCGATATTTTTGTTTTATCATTGTATCTTTGCACATCTCTCATCGATTGTCTCTCACAAACTTCATTGTTCCTTCATTTCTGTTGTTATTACGAGTGCTCTCTGTTTACATTCCTGTTCTCTACAGTTCTGTCTTCTCAACATTCTGCTGCCAAGCGTTCCACTTATGATTGATGCTACATACTACTTATATCTGTTGACATAAGTAGCATACATCACATATTTATTTCCATGATCTCATAATTTGTAGTTTTTCCAATTAGCTAATAAATTGGATTGGTTTTTATATGTTTTATTGGTGCTTGAATGTTAAACTTGTAAAGCTGTTGTGACATTCCCCGTACTCTCCCCATCTTGGATTTCAAATGGTCGAAGAATCACTGTCTAAACAGACATGAATGTATCCTATATGAATATTCGTCAAAATTTGAATGAACGGTTCGACAGAAATTAGGCATGAAATGTATACAGAAGATATTGAACTGTATAAATTGTATTTGAAATCATCTCAGTGATTGAAGTTCAAGTAATTCCAGTGTTTCGCCCAACCTGTTTGTTAGAGTTTCTTTAGGGAAATAATAAAAATCATGAATGTATATTTAGGGATCAGAATGTTTTTTTACACAAGCTAATACCTGTAGACTTGTAGTTCGAAAGAATTGTCAACAAACGTTAGATGACTAATAGGTAATTTCTGATATATGTAATATATTATTGTGAATATTCAATTCTAAATAACATTCAACAGAGAACTATTCATCACCAAATATAACTGGATTTCTTTTTCATCTTTGTTGGAGACTCAAAAGTTCATATGAATAGTTCAACATAGAAAAGTTTATTAGCTGTGTCCTACTTCTAAGACTTTAACACTAGAGACTAACTGATCCAACTTGCGAGTTTAATCACATCTTTCAAGTTCAACTGGGAGAAAGAAATCTAATATTTAATCTTATTTACTAACATCAGTCGTTCGAGAAATTCCCCTCCAAAAGTCTGAAATTAATATTAAAATTGATATTCAGTTTATGAGTGTTCATTTCTTGACAGATATACAAGTTTATAGTAGTCCGATAAGCACATTATCTTCCAATAAACACATTTCTGATATAGTCACATATGTTAGATTATTTCTTTGAAGTTCGATGCATTGAATTTCGTAATAGTCATTCATTCATAGATTGATTTCAATGACCAATGAGTTTACTTTTCTTACTAGATAAATTAATCTGGTTTCATCATAATAAGAGAGTAACCTCCGTTTAGTCACATGTTTCTAATGTCATACTTGTATTAAGCAATCGTAAGTTTACTCTAATCCCTTCCTAACTAGATCGTTTCAATGTTCTTGAAATAATATTATCAAATAACTTCCTAGATTCAATGGAAGTATGTCGTTACAATTAAAATCATCAAATGTTTAGTTTATTTGAATGAACATGTATGATTTAAATATTATTACCTATTTTGTACAACCAGTTCTGTTAGATGGTTGGAGGTAGTTCACAAGGAACCCTTGAAGACCTATATCTCTTGCTATTATGCAACGGTTGCTTAGTTTTTAATTCTAACTTTCAGCTACTTTGGTGTTTTTAATCATTTGTATCTTTGTTTTTTTTTTTACTGGTTCGAATACACATTGTTCTCCTTCCCTTCTGTTCTTGTTCTGATTTGGGAAGAGTCAAGCGAAGTATGGAGTATGTTTAACGACTATTAGACAGTAGAATAATATAGCAGGTTATTTTGTAGAATTCAATCATTTTCCTAACAATATTAATTAGTTCCTTTAGCCATAGTGTGTAGTGATAGGTGTCTGATTGAACTAAGTTAACAGATTCTGGATTTTCAATTATGTAAGTCTAGATTTGTTCTTAAGTCAATTGAGTACAATAGACACTCTTAAATACGTAACGATCTAAAATTCCATATAAACATAAATATGATTTTCTTGAAGTTTTCACTTAACATGATCTCAGTTGATATTCGTCTTGAATCTTTTATAAAAAAATATTATTCTTTGTTCCTTTTTTACTTCAGGGTGTTTGTTGTGGTGATCATCTTCACTGTTGTCCAGCTGGTTCAATTTGTGATTTGGATACAAAACAGTGCATTTTACAAATTGAATACAATCAATCTACCACAAAAATAGTTTATGATGGGTTTACTATGCACAAAGCTAATCAAAAGTTATCAAATAGTTTATATTCACAACCAGTAAAATCTATTAGTACTATTGATACTTATGTACAAGCAAAATGGTGTGGAGCATGCGGTGACACTTGGGCTTGTTGTCCAGATGTTACTTTTACTTCATGGTCATGTTGTCCTTATGTGGGCGTAAGTTACGATGATAATTTTAATTGGATTATTATATTATATTGATAGGTCTTGCTACCGAAATGCTTAAACTGTCTTCCTAGTTAGTTCCGATAACTTAAAATTACTTCTACACATCAACTGGAATACTAGGGAGAGAAAACGCGAATTGCGAATAAAAGCTTTACTTCAAGGTTAGTTTATGCTATCGACCAAGTTGCAATACAGCCACCAGTCTAGGTGACTCGACATTTCGTGCACTCTGTTGGGATAAGATGGTGGTTGGAGGTAGTCAACAGGAAACCCTGGGTCTAGGTTTCGTGCTGTTTGGCACTCGTCAGCATGGTTTATTTATAATCTTGAGGGAACTGGTACTCCCTGACAGATTCGATTCCGTATCACCCAGCTTCACAGTCAGAGACGTTAACCCGAATTATTTTCATCTTTAATGGATTTTGATGAATAATTAATTAATATCAGTTCACTGTCTATAAAATATCTAAATTATCAGTGTGTTATACTTTTGTTAACTCAATTATTTACTACTTAATTGATTTGTGTAGACTTTAGGAATTTCTATTTTATTGTTAATTTAGGGAGAATGTTGTATTGGACAAAATACTTGTTGTCCTCCTGGATCACGTTGTTTAAATAATGGGAAATGTGAAAAGATCCAAAAGAATATCTTCAAATCATCAGCATCTGCTTTAATACCATCTATTTCAATGAATAACAATGTACAAAGACCACATTTCATTAAACAAAATAATGAAAAAGAAAACTTCCAGATAGAAATGTCCAACAGTGCTAAACCTGCTCAAAGGAATATCCTTCTTCTGTAAGTAGATTTTCTTTCCCTTTTTTATACGTTTAAAATGGTTTTTCTCGTAGTCTGTGTCTGATGATATTGGAAGTTGATTATAGAGCCTGTTTATTGACTTGTTCACTTTAAGGTCATTTGATCAATGATTTTACGGTTGACCGACAATACTATGTTTATTTTACCAAATAACTCAATGACTTAATCAACACAAGAATAATTTCACATTTTATGGTTTAAAAACTCCTTACCCTAGTGTCCAACCAGAAAACGATGTTAAGAGCGAGGTTTCAGTAGACCTAGGACAGTGTTTCGCGCACTAGAATCATTGGTCATGGTTACACTTGAGGAGGAAACCAAAAGAGGAAGTTTAGAGTTGAAAGTCGACGTAGGAGGTATAATAGGAACTGAAGAGGGAGATCGATTATGAATGGAGTGATTTTGAGTGCAATCACAGGTATGAGAGTGGTTTTTACTTCCCGGTTGCCCACACAGTGGAATAGTCTTTCTAGAGGTAACTGAAAAGGAAATTCAGTTAGAGTTGGTCTTAGTCATCTGAGAGCGTGACCACAATGCCCAAGGGATAGCTGCTTGAGGTCGGTCACACATGACCTTTCTGTGAGTAATTTTCGTGTTAGCTCCGTATTGTTGAAACCTTACCGTCGGAGACCGATATCCGTGGGATAGAGTGGTCTTCATTTTTAGGATCGACCTTTTCTAATCCCACCCCACCTTGTGGGAAGGCAGCATCGTTATACTGGTTGTCTGAAGGAAACATCTTACTGCCGTCACACCTCTGTACAGTCACTAGTATGACTTCGCCTTCGAACTTTGAGTTTGCTGCTTTTAGTCTTACCGCTCTTCAACCGACCTGTCTGATATAGCAGGACCTTGTGGAATCATTGTTCCAGTCAGTATAACTCGATTGGTTCATCATGATAAGCAAGCTCGACCATCACATCAAGGTAGCAGCAACGTTCGGGATGTTAGGGAACAGAATAAATCGTCTATTAGTTCCTATTGGTCTCCATTCAAAAACTCAATGAATTATATACAAGAATTTCCTGGCCATGAAGTATTACAAATAAGGAACCAAAATGAGGGATCAATCCATGAAAACACTATCTGTTGGACTGAGTCATATAGTGGTATTCGGAGATTGCCTGACTGAGGTTCGCGTGCTTATTATAACAAAACGGTTGAAAACTTTAGATGAAATGAAGGGTTAGAATCATTTGCAATGGTGCAAGTGCATTCACTCTTTCTCTTCCCTTAAATCCACACTATAAATTGCCTTATAAATGTTTTTCTTATCCACATAAACCATATTTTGTTCTTAAGTCGTATCTTCAATCTATAATCTTTTCTATTACCACTAATATCGTTACTACCTTCTATTATATTGGGATTTGCCCTGACAATTCGGTCTGGTTATGCTCATAAAGTGTGACAAATCGAATCTATGTATACACATGTACCAGATTCTACGTTGTGTACCACTGGTTGACTGACTGACTGAATTTGTACATAGCTTATTTGTAAATGATACTAAACTGAATAATCAGTTTATAGTTAACTAAGAATAATTTATTAACACTGAATTATGTAGCAAGGGTTTTCACGTCAAATAGAAGTTTATAATTAAATAGGATATAAGAAGGGGATAATGCAAGTACTCAGTCATTATTTAATAAAAATATGTGTAAGTTTTTGCATGGAATAGTTCTGCAAGTTTAACTCTCCTCCCTAACCCCCCTCGTCCCGGAAATACTATCTGCTCGTGTACAACATATTCTATCATTGCTTACCTATTAGTGTATTAAATTAAATTAGTTCCATTTACCTAGATATCCATTGAGGAAACATAGCGCAACCGTGAAAAAAATCTATCAATATTATTTCCGTCCTTTACACTAATGATAGGTTTATAGTTTTAATCATCACTGTCGGATCATTTTCGCGTTTGGGATGATTCTTTCACTTCAAATGAAAAATATTGCTCTAAAACTGTCCTGCATTAGCGCAAATTAAGTACATTGATTACTTCAGTTTCATCAGTCCTGGTGAGCTGATGTCTGATGAAGAAAATCTAGATTAGTATTTTCCAACTAGTATCACTTGTAGTGTAGGCGAGATATCTGTCTGCCAAATGAAGGATGAGTTTACTATACATAAGTTCACTTCATTCTACTTTGTGTGTTAAGTTAGTCTTACATTGTTCCTACTCGCTCCCTTTCCACTCCTTTGTATATTGTTTTATACTATTTATTTACATTCAGTAAGCAGTTATATTCCCAACAATTTTTAAACTTATGTTGTAACGTAAGTTGAAGTGTAATATTCTGAAATGTTCACACATACTTATAACGTTTATTGTACTTATCATTTTATTTATCATTATAATTACTGTACCTTAACCACTGCAGTGGTTATCCACAGTTTCGTACATTTGTTTAAACGCAACAGTTTCCATATTGTTTGCTCTTGGTTCGGGTTTCGGTTGTTCATAAACTGTTGTCAAATATAGACACAGCTATTAGCTGTCCTTTGTATTATCGTATGTTGTAATTATTCTTTATGTTACTGTTACAGGAAGCCTTGTTTATTTTCATACTTGAAGGACGCGTTTAAACGCCCCAGACACCTCACAAGTTGAGGTTTGTAACTAAATTTTGTGTATTATTCAATAAAGAACCGCTATTGTAGACAAATCGTTGTTTTGGAAACTTCGGTTTTGCGCGTATCTCAACCAGGTAACTTGGACGCTTCGATAGACTTAACAGTTCTCAACTTTGGTCCTAATTGGTGTGGATCCGAAGACATAACTCCCACAGCTACAGCTGGTTACCGACATACCAAAACAGCTATGAGTGATGAGTTGGAAATTAAAGCACACGTAGATAACGTTAAGTCACTATTCATGACGGCAAGCCTACCGAAGATAGAGATCATGAAATTCGACGGAAGTCCTCTAAGATTTTGGACGTTCATGAATAATATTCAAAATTTAGTTACAAACCTCAACTTGTGAGGTGTCTGGGGCGTTTAGACGCGTCCTTCAAATATGAAAATAAACAAGGCTTCCTGTAACAATGACATAAAGAGTAATTATAATATATGATAGTACAGGGGACAGCTGATAGCTGTGTCTATGTTTGACAACAGTTTATGAACAACCGAAACCCGAACCAAGAGCAAACAATATGGAAACTGTTGCGTTTAAACAAATGTACGAAACTGTGGATAACCACTGCAGTGGTTAAGGTACAGTAATTATAATGATAAATAAAATGATAAGTACAATAAACGTTATAAGTATATGTAAACATTTCAGAATATTACACTTCAACTTACGTTACAACATAAGTTTAAAAATTGTTGGGAATACAACTGCTTACTGAATGTAAGTAAATAGTATAAAACAATATACAAAGGAGTGGAAAGGGAGCGAGTAGGAACAATGTATGACAAACTTAACCATGTGTGCCATCAGGATAGGAGAATATTCGTAGGTTTGTAGTATTAGATCAGAAGTGTCTTCGAAGCATCGCTTTTGTATTTTGAGATCTCTTAGTGGGCATTACTGAGGTTAGGGTTAGGATACTAGGTAAGGATGACAATTCAATCGATGAAGTAGTAAATGCTCATCAACTGAGGTGGTTGGAACATGTGCTTCGTAAGCCCAATCACTGCCTACCTCGACGGGCGTTGTTGTCTGATATAGGGATAGACTGGATAAAATCTAGGGGCGCCGAAACTAAAATATCGCTCTGATCTATGAAGTCATTGACAATCGAACTGAGTCCATGTTAATGAATGTAGACTACGTGATTGGTATCTGCGTGATTATGGTAACCGATTTTTGGAGACTCCAGGTTATACAGGTCAAAACCGTTTATGATAGCACAGATGCATTCACTTCTGGTTTGCCTCTTGAACCTAACTCCCTAAATCTCATTAAGCCTTTATGTCGTTTTGTATACATATTTTTTTATTACTTCGGATACTATTACTACTTCTACTACTCTGGAATTTGCCTTAAAATAATCCCTTCTCACTGTGCTTATGTAGTATGGTAGATTGAATCGATGCACATATATATCAAGTTCTGTATTACATATGACTGCGACTAATCATTGAAAAAATTAACTGGCATCGTCTTAGTCTGAGATGACCTACAAAATGAACAGGTTCCAAATATTCTATATAGCTTTTATACAGTTTACCTTGGATTTTATTACAGAAACCTTTATCGGTACTTGGGGGGGGGTGGTTATATTATAAAATTGCAATATTTCTAATTACTTTTCTTTTCTCAATAAATACATATTAGTGTTCGTCATTATCGACGTCTTAAACGACAATTGCATACAATTTGTCCTGATTCATTACACTATTGTGGTAAATCTGAACAATGTTGTCTTTCTAATAAATTTGGTTATACTTGCACACCGAATGAGGTATGTTCCTTTTTTTGTATTTTTTTTATTCCAAATCAATTATAATTGTCATTTTTATTAATTATTGTTATGTTGCACAGTGAAAAGTTTTTAGCTAACGAAATAAATTACTATGACTTTAAGTGTCTAGAGTGATTTGTGAAATTAAGTTTGATTATATACATTCGCTAATCATCCTCTCAATTTGGTAAGCAACACCAACAGTGTGAGAAAGCAGTTGCCATATGGGAGAATTTTGAGAGGGAGAGCGAACTTTCCCCACCGTCGACCGTACTAGGGTATTTGGGGGTGGATGTCCGGTACTTCAATCGGGTTGGTAGATATGAAGGGTTCATTTAGGGAAGTTGGAAAACCCTGACTGTAAACTAATGATGAACATGGGCTTCAGAATCATGATGTCACCGGCTACCATAGATTTGGATCTCTTGACGTTGCTCCACTGTCTTGTGGATTAGACCTCTGGGTGAAAGGCTCGAGGAATGGCCCCCTAAGGAAATCACTTTCTTCGTTTTGGGCCCCCGAGCAATATTTCAGGTCTTACACAAATCGAATGATTCATGTGGTGCATATACATTTGGTACCTCCTTGTACCAATGTTTATCTCTTTAAATAAATAATTGGAACTGATTACAGACCGTGTTAAAGTTATCAAAACAGATATGTTGAATAAATTACTATGAATTTAAGTATGTTTAAAATTCAATATTATGTTACTTGTTCATGTGTTTATTTATTGTTACACATATATTTTCACTACATAAAGCGTTATCTTCATATAAATAGCATTGGGATAACTAATGGATCATTGTTGTTAGAATCGGGATTTGTGGAGATTGTATTAATTTTTAATAGTTGAATTGATGAGTCGATCTAAGCTAGACAACCAGTAAAGATCTGGAAGCACTTAAGAGAGCACTTTCGATGCTTCCAGGTTTAGCTTAGATTGACTCATGAATTCAACTAATAAGATAATTGTTGTTCTATGTTGTTATCTTCAAATTGTCTTCGACATTTTTTTCGTTCCATTTTTTTCAGTTCATATGTTGTGAATCTAGTATGAATACTTATTGTCCAATATCCAAGGATTGTTCTCTAGACGGGAAATTCTGTGTTGATAAGCATTAGTCTGACTATCATCATAGTTATTGATGATTGGATGATTATCATTCTACATGTGTGTATGTATGTGTTTATGTGTTTATGGATTACTACAAATCTTGCCATTATTATAAATTTGGATTTGTAACATCTCTTATCCATGTTACTATTTGTGATTCTATTCAATATAAATTGAATTTTCATTATAATTACTGTTTAATATTTTTCTATTGTTAAGATATTTTCATCTCTTTATTAAATAAATTTCATTTTGTGCTATTATTAACATTGAATGTGTTCTTTTACACTTGATCTGTAATTGGTTTTATACTACAATGTAACAGAGATAAGTGAAGTTGATTTCATATGTGAATTTACATTCAGTTGACTAGTCTCGGTTACTTACTTGCTTACGCCTGTTACTCCTCGTGGAGTAGCATAGACCGCCCACCAGCACCTTCCATTCAACCTTGTCCTTTCCAGTTGTTATTCATCCTTTTCGTATCTGCTTCCATTTCCCGATGTAATGTGTTCTTTGGCCTTCCTCTTTTCCGCTTCCCTTCAGGATTCCAAATTAGGGCTTGCCTCGTGATGCAGTTTGATGATTCTCCCAGTGTATGTCCTATCTAGTTTCATCGTCTTTTCCTAATTTCCTCTTCAACCGCAAGCTGGTTTTTTCTTTGCCAGAGTAGGCTTTATCCGGCGAACGGATATTGAGTATCTTGCGTAGACAACTGTTTATAACTACTTGTACCTTCTTGATGATGGTTGGTGTGGTTCTCTAAGTCTCAGCTCCGCGCAGTAGAACTGTGTTGACGTTCGTATTGAAGATTGATTATTCTCTAAAATATAAAAAAATCATAGATTATCATTTTTTAGTTACTTGTTAGTTATTTACGTCTATTAATTCTATTAAAACATTCAACTACACAGTTGAAATACACATGAAACAGGCTTTAAAATGATATGTAGAGAATGGTTTAATCACTAACGAATATATATCAGTTGGTTAAAAATCTCAACTTGTGAAGTATCTATGGCGATTAATGCGTCTATATGTTTGGAAAGAGAAAGGCTTCTTGTAGTAACTACATAAAAAGTGGTATGACATACGATACCGAAAATGGTCACCAGTAACTATGTCTAATATTAACGAAAATTTATCAACAATCAAAGTACGTGCAAACTAAGATTTTGATTAAGATCATGAACCGATTGATGTTACACCAGCATTGGAAACTAAGAGCCATACAAATAAAGGGGGTTTTCACGTTTAACCAAAGATACAAGAAGATTTTTTTCAAAAAAACTAGAAATAATTCTTATAAGGGTTAAGAGAAAGTAGTTATAATGAATTATGCATCAATTGTTATTAGTTCATGTAAATACTTGGCGATGTTACGCAACGGTAAATGAAAGCTACATTATAAATTGCTAGAAATGGGACTACCTACTGAATAATAATAAGTAGTAGAAACCAACACACGAATAATGAATGAAAATATCCATCAGTAGCTGGAATGTAGATCTGACCTTTCGGATAATGATCCGTTTAAATTGTACTGTAATATATTTTATCACTTTTTTTCACATTGTGTTTAAGTTGCTCATAGTGATCATCAGATAAACACAACTGTATAAGAAGAAATGTCCTGTTTTATTTGAGATCCACCTGAACGAAAGTACACTGGAACAGTAAAGTTGCGTTTCGTAGGATTGTCGACTTTGAACAAACTTTTTATCCATTCATAGTCTAGCACGAGTGTGTGTTGACTCAAGTTGTCATACTGCTTTAACACGACAAGGTGATGGGCAAGAGAATCGAAATGATGTAGTTGCAATGGTAATGAGGAATACTGAACTTTGAGAATATGTTCTGAGAAAAATGACGGGAAAAGTATGTGTGAAGGAATACTGGAATTAAAGATCGAGAGGAGGATAAAGAGTATATGCCACCTCGCCATTGTGGTCGATTTAGAGACATGTCACACATTATCTCTAACCACTGAGAGGAGTTGATTCGCGTACCACAATCAGGTAATCGGGATCTATCTGCTAGGCTCAGACCAAAAATTAATAGTTTTCATATAACCGTTAAGATAACTGGAATGAATTTGCTTTATTATAATTACCGGTACACTATGGTCCGCTACAATATGGAGAATTATTGCATACGTCACTATTCTTCCGCTTTGGCCCGGAATCACAACCGCGTACAGCCTACATGTAACGTGCTCTGTCATTACCAACATATACTGATTCCCATTAGACGTTTTATATCATATTGATTACTATGAAGATGACACAGGTATTCAGTGTTTGACAATGCTTTTACCAGTAACACCTAATATAACTCGTACCCATCAAGAGAAATCAAAAGATAGAATCGAGGAGATCAGAAGTTGTATTTGACGATTGCCAATATATCGGAATTGTCTGATCTAGTCTGGCTAGCGATTTTAGTAGATGTTGAGCACGGCGTTCCCACACGTGATCTGGTGCGGATGCATGACCAAGCGTCTTCAGCTAGATGAGTCCATTAAAACTAATGTAGTCAGCATCCAATATCGAAGACTTACAAACAGAGTTATTGATTTTGGAGATTTATTACAAAATAATCACAAGCCGATAACTGTCGAGTGACAAGCAACGCTCGATAGAAGTTTCGTGTTAATTCATGACTCCTCGTCAATGGGTATCAGATTATCACTTCATTTAAGAATAGGTGTAGTGCATATAATCTTTACGACTTGATGACAGAGGAATACAAACTATATGTGATCTACTACGTAAGCTGAGACAGATATGGTCAATACTATAGGAGATCATAGGCTTCTGTCTTCATATTCATACAGGTAAAAACAAGATGGTTGTTCAAGTATCTTTATTTATATCAATGTTTGTGGATAATTGTTTGTATGAATCGGACTTGTAAATCGTCAAAATATTCGACAGAGACAATATAAATTAAATCAGAGGATAGTTAGAAATCCGAAACTGAATTCATTTAGATATCATCAGGTATATTCTAGTAGAATGAATCTATCAGTCAGTATACAAAATGTTAAACAACGAACAGATCACGAAGGGAAGACGAAAATCAAAGTAGGCGTGTGGACATTAGTATTGGATTTATGCACAATAATCAATCAGATTAGATGTCAATAGATTAAGCTATTAATCACTTGCACAAGAATGTAACTAACTCACCACATTCTTAAATATATGTTCCTGATGATGTTGTCCAGCAGGACAATGAAGTATTCACAATCAAATTGTCAAACTCACAAGATGAACATTCTTATCTCTTACATTTTAAATACAATACCATTTGTAATCAAATCTCTACAAATGGTATGGTGATGCAATTGTAGCTGTAAATAAATCTCCAAAATCAATAACTCTTTGTAAGTCTTCGATATTGGATGCTGACTACATTAGTTTTAATGGACTCATCTAGCTGAAGGCGCTCGGTCATGCATCCGCACCAGATCATGAGTGGGAACGCCGTGCTCAACTTCTCCTGCAATCGCTAGCCACATTAGATCAGACGATCCTCGATATATTGACAGCCTATCAAATATATCTTCGAACCTGCTCGTTTTTGACTCTTGATTTCACTTGATGGGTACGATTCATATTAGATGTTACTGGTTGAATAGTTGTCAAACTCCGAATACCTGTGGCATGTTCACAGTAAAGTTTGTCCTGCATTGTCTATGATAATTCAGAAGAGTAAAATTCACTACCTATCGCTTTGTGTACAAACAGACGAATGGAATCGTTTCATGACATATTTAAATGTTCCTTGTGGGAGATTTTTTTAGCCAAAATGATTTCTGAATGTTTCAAACCTTGGAAAATGTTTCTCTCATTTATAATTCTTTCGTTGTTTTCCACTCGAAAACCTTAATTTCTGTGTTCACGCACAATGTTTCCTAACTTTACACATTATAGTTTCACTTTACTGAAACTGGTATGTGCTACTGGTATCGACAAATATAAGTAGTATGTATCACCGATCGAAAGTAAAATGCCTGTAGGTAGAAAGTTGAGAAAATCGAAAAGAGGACAAGAACACTGAGCAATTGGTATAGAAATGAAGGAACAACAAATTTTGAGAAAGTTGATGGACATTTTACAAATGAGTTATTTATTGTATGGTTCTCAGATTTAAACATGGCTAACAATGGAATCAAGGACAATAGTCACTTTGTTCTATTTGGGACTTCTTAGCTAGATGTACCTGCATCCCAGAGTTGATCTTCACTCCAGAACTCGAACCCAGTATCATCCACTTCAAACGTCATAGCGTTATCCAATTGGCTACTGAGTCACAGATTTTAATATAACATTCTGTAATTTTGTACTGAGATGATGGAAAGAAAAGTCTAAATTCGATTGATTTATCGATTATGAATTTTATTCAACATGAATTCCATTTTGATTCAATGTCATGATTACTCAATGGAGTATTTATTACTGTTATCTCAGTATGATATTCTCTTTTGTATAATATGCGAGATATTCTTATATTCCATTGATATGAACTATGTATGCTCAGAATGTGATTTGTTATAACTGAATATGTGATTTCATCTTAATTATTAATCAAAATGGGTATACAGTCAATATATAAATGAGTGTATTTTCAACTAGAGTTGTCGTCGTCTTTGTTGTGTTTTGGGGATTAATAAATCTTCACATATACCAGCCTTTGTATTTTTACTTTCGCGTCGTGGGAATTGCAGAGGTTCCACGTTCCGAGTATAAATGATAAGCATTTCCGACATAAAAATCATCGACGACCACATAGAACAAGTAGGATTTAATTCAAATGTTATAACGATTGGCAACGGGAATTTTGGAAAATATTGAAAAGTTATAATAGTACACTAATACATTTGGTTATCCCTATCTGTGTTCTCGTTTATTATAAGACAGTTAAAGACGTTGCTTTTTTCTTTAATGATTTGTTACTTTTCTTGATTCTTCAACCTGCATATCTAAATTGAAATTCCAGAATGTCTATGACAAATTATTATTTGAGCAACAATTTTATGTTGGGTATGTTAAGGTAAATGAGAAATTTAAAGCAATTAGTCCCTTTGACAAATGTCGATCATGTAATCTAAGAAGAAGAAGAAGAAGAAGATTATCACAAGTATGTGATGATATATTAGCGCAATACATCTCGAACAATGTGAGCACACACATAATATACTTGTTAAGAACATTTATATATAAAACGATAAAAGGTCAACTAGACTGGAAATGGGGATAAGAGGAGACAAGGATAATAACAAGAGTAATAATAGTAATAATCCATGTCTGGTAGAAACAGGTGTCTACCTCAGTACAATGGAAGATGGTTGCACAATTTCGTGGATTGGTTGAGGTTAGACATTAACACCATTGGATGCCGGCTCAGTGGTCCAGTAGGTTAAGCGTTCGCGCATGAGACAGAAGGCCATGGGTTCGAAACCCGCGAGCGGGGTCTTGGATGCGCACTGCTGAGGAGCCCCATAATAGGACTAAACGATCGTCCAGTGCTTCCAGGTTTCCAAAGGTGATGGTCTAACATCAATCGGTTCATGATCTCAATCAAAAACTTAATGATCTCCACAACCCCTAAACTGATAATAATAATAATAATAATAATAATAATAATGTGAACACAATTTGAAACCTAATCACTGTGGATATTAAGCCAGGGGTAGGTTTAAGGTGAGAACAAACTGTTTTTGAATACACAAAAGGAGTTTGAATTTTCTTCTGGCTAAGGATTCAATAAACCTTAGTATACACCGTTTTACACTTTTGTACAACACCACAAAAGCCGTATTAAGATCAATCTTATGGTCTGTTTT